ACTCCCCGAAGGTAAAAACACACTGGCATACACACACAACCCACCCCCCTCCTAAATAGATAGATAGACTGAATATATAAACACACAGAAGAGCACTCAGCAGTGTGTGTGTGTGCGTTTCTGTGTGTGTGTGTGTGTGTTTCTGTGTGTGTGTGTGTGTGTGTGTGTGTTCTACAGGCTCAAGCAGTGATGAACTTCGTGGTTCGTTATCGTCCAGATGAGCAGCCGTCACTCCGTCCTCATCATGACTCCTCAACATTCACCATTAACATTGCGTTAAACAGTAAAGGAAAAGACTATCAGGTACAGATTCGCTCACCCATCTCACTAAACGTGTCTATCCTGTACTCGACTCTACGGAGCCTGAAGATTTGATTCTTTTTAATCAGTGTCAGATCTGAATTAATATCTGTGATGAATCAGTGTCAGTTCTGAATCAGTATCTTTAATGAATCAGTGTCAGTTCTGAATCAGTATCCGTGATGAATCAGTGTCAGTTCTGAATCAGTATCTTTAATGAATCAGTGTCAGTTCTGAATCAGTATCCGTGATGAATCAGTGTCAGTTCTGAATCAGTATCCGTGATGAATCAGTGTCAGTTCTGAATCAGTATCTTTAATGAATCAGTGTCAGTTCTGAATCAGTATCCGTGATGAATCAGTGTCAGTTCTGAATCAGTATCCGTGATGAATCAGTGTCATTTCTGAATCAGCATCCGTGATGAATTAGTGTCAGTTGTGAATCAGTATCTGTGATGAATCAGTGTCAGTTCTGAATCAGCATCCGTGATGAATCAGTGTCAGTTCTGAATCAGTATCCGTGATGAATCAGTGTCAGTTCTGAATCAGTATCCGTGATGAATCAGTGTCAGTTCTGGTGGTTCATTATATGTTTTTCTGGATGTTGTTAATCACCCTGGTCTGTGTGATTCTCTGTGTGTGTGTACGGTGTGTGTTGTGTACTGTATGTGTGTATGTTGTGTGTGTGTGTGTGTGTATAATGTGTATGTTGTGTGTGTGTGTGTGTGTGTATATAATGTGTATGTTGTGTATGTTGTGTGTGTGTGTGTGTATATAATGTGTATGTTGTGTGTGTGTGTAATGTGTATGGTGTGTGTGTGTATAATGTGTATGTTGTGTGTGTGTATAATGTGTATGTTGTGTGTGTGTGTGTGTGTGTGTAATGTGTATGTTGTGTGTGTGTATAATGTGTATGTTGTGTGTGTGTGTGTGTATAATGTGTATGTTGTGTGTGTGTATAATGTGTATGGTGTGTGTGTGTATAATGTGTATGTTGTGTGTGTGTGTGTGTAATGTGTATGTTGTGTGTGTGTATAATGTGTATGTTGTGTGTGTGTGTATAATGTGTATGTTGTGTGTGTGTATAATGTGTATGGTGTGTGTGTGTATAATGTGTATGTTGTGTGTGTGTGTGTGTGTATAATGTGTATGTTGTGTGTGTGTGTGTGTATAATGTGTATGTTGTGTGTGTGTATAATGTGTATGGTGTGTGTGTGTATAATGTGTATGTTGTGTGTGTGTGTGTGTGTGTATAATGTGTATGTTGTGTGTGTGTGTGTGTAATGTGTATGTTGTGTGTGTGTAATGTGTATGTTGTGTGTGTGTATAATGTGTATGTTGTGTGTGTGTATAATGTGTATGTTGTGTGTGTGTGTGTAATGTGTATGTTGTGTGTGTGTGTATAATGTGTATGTTGTGTGTGTGTGTGTATGTTTGTGTGTGTGTGTGTGTGTATAATGTGTATGTTGTGTGTGTGTGTGTGTAATGTGTATGTTGTGTGTGTGTGTAATGTGTATGTTGTGTGTGTGTATAATGTGTATGATGTGTGTGGGTAATGTGTATGTTGTGTGTGTGTATAATGTGTATGTTGTGTGTGGGTAATGTGTATGTTGTGTGTGTGTATAATGTGTATGATGTGTGTGGGTAATGTGTATGTTGTGTGTGTGTGTAATGTGTATGTTGTGTGTGTGTATAATGTGTATGTTGTGTGTGGGTAATGTGTATGTTGTGTGTGGGTAATGTGTATGTTGTGTGTGTGTGTGTGTATAATGTGTATGTTGTGTGTGTGTGTGTGTGTAATGTGTATGTTGTGTGTGGGTAATGTGTATGTTGTGTGTGGGTAATGTGTATGTTGTGTGTGTGTGTAATGTGTATGTTGTGTGTGTGTATAATGTGTATGTTGTGTGTGGGTAATGTGTATGTTGTGTGTGGGTAATGTGTATGTTGTGTGTGTGTGTGTGTATAATGTGTATGTTGTGTGTGTGTGTGTGTGTAATGTGTATGTTGTGTGTGGGTAATGTGTATGTTGTGTGTGGGTAATGTGTATGTTGTGTGTGTGTGTGTGTAATGGGTATGCTGTGTGTGTGTGTGTGTGTATAATGTGTATGTTGTGTGTGTGTGTGTGTGTAATGTGTATGTTGTGTGTGGGTAATGTGTATGTTGTGTGTGGGTAATGTGTATGTTGTGTGTGTGTGTGTAATGGGTATGCTGTGTGTGTGTGTGTGTGTGTATAATGTGTATGTTGTGTGTACTGTGTGTAATGTGTGTGTGTGTGTGTACTGTGTAATATGTGTGTGTGTGTGTGTACTGTGTGTAATGTGTGTGTGTGTGTGTGTGTGTGTGTACTGTGTGTAATATATGTGTGTGTGTGTGTGTTTGCAGGGCGGGGGCTGCCGGTTTCTTCGGTACGACTGTAGAGTGGAGTCCCCGAGGAAAGGCTGGTCCTTCATGCACCCGGGTCGTCTCACACACTTCCACGAGGGTTTACCCACCACTCAGGGGACTCGGTACATCATGGTGTCCTTCGTCGACCCCTAACACTCCGCCTGAGTGCGTTTGAGTGTGTGAGTGTGTGTGTGTGTGTAATTTAACACAGATATCAGTTTGTTCTCTGGAACTCTGTCGCCGTTCAGCTCCATTAGAGCGGTTTGATCACCGGTTTAATAGTTTTATACCTTTAGTCTAAATTTTGATTGTTTTTTACATTTTTATGGACTATTTTTTACTTCCTGGAGACTTTTATACGAGGTCGAAAAGCTAAATGAGGAATGAATTAAAGCCCTTGTGAGAGAACTGTTACACTGATCAGCGTTTTTCTGAAACGTCTTTTCTACTCTGAGCTTTGTACAAAGTGCTTTAAGTTATTTGTCTTCTTTGCATAATAAAAGTTTAGTGGCTAAAATGAGTCCTTCCTTTCTTTGTGAGTTGTGTTATTTTTGGGCAGCGCTTTGTTTGTGCCAAACAGGATCCAGAGCCTCCCAGCAACTATTTCAGCGGAACACAGCGGCTTCCTGTAGAGCCGGTCAGTGCAGGAGTTATAGATGCTGCAGATAAATGAAGAATTTCAGTGCGTTTTAACACCATTTTGAGACTAAACAAATGAAAATAATACCATCTCCAAAGCACATTAGCACTCAAATTCAAATGGGATATGTTTAATATCTACTTTATTCAAACAAGATAAAAATGAAACTCTGGATAAGCACTTAAAAATGGATTATTTTTTAGGCCCCTTTATGTGATTAGGCATTGTTTAATAATGTAACGCCTGTATTATAAGATGTTTGCATTAGTCTGTTCATCTATTTTGTGCACTAATTACCCTAAAAATTATGTAGAACATAAAATGTAATATATATATATATATATATATATATATATATATATATATATATATATATATTGTTTTAGTGCTAAGCACATGTTGCCTGAGAAACCCTGTTTGGAAAATTGCAGGTTTAAACTGACCCCGTCACTTATTTTATAAGCCCCCCACGCCCCCCCTGCATAACATAACTCCACCCCCATCTCCCTCTTCATGGCTCAGAAACCATGGTGGAGGAAAAATATTCTGAGCTGTGAAAAAATGTAAAGAAACAAACAGAATTTTCAAGGTAGAAGTTATTACAGACCAAAGGGACGAAGCTGGACGCATAATCAGCGACTTTTCTCCTGAACTGGTATGTAAACCTGATATGTGTAAAGAGCTGAACTATTTGAATGACTAGATAAATCTTCATCTCTCACAGACCCAGTAAAATAACACTTCAGATGAACCACCTTTGTGGAGATGTGTGTGATACTCGTCACCTACATCAAACTCCCATCCCTGTAACAAAGCTAACCAGACAAGGCTGCTTTTTCAAACTGTCCCATCTTAAGTGCTGCTGCAGAGAGGATTTTTGCCTCATTGCAGAGAAAACAGGACACATTATTAATCCTGAGCAGCAAATTCATCTAAACTGAATGCTGAGAGTTTATAGGCTGTAATTAGTCCGGACAAAAGAGACACGGGAGTTTGACGCTCTACTTGGATTGCATGATTAGATGAAGTCAAATGTAAGGTATGTCATCATTACCGAGTAGAATAGATCAGTACTTTGCCGGGGAGAGAGCAGTATTGTAGCCCCCTCTTGGGGCTTATATGTTTTATCCCACCCTGAGATAAACTGACAGCCATGGTATTCACTGTTATTATCGTCTTATGGAACACACTCAGTTTGCGGTATTGGGGTGTAGGTCGTATCATATTAATAGTGTACTATTATCATCTATTTCTAAATAACAAAGTAAGGCAATATCCTTGATAACCAGCATATCGTCACTGTGAAGTGAAGTGAGGATTATCTTTGTTAACATTGCCAAACTCTAAACAATCAATTCTGCATCCGTGTTTTGTATTGATGGGCTGGAATGGGAGGCAAATCCAAATAATAAAAAATGGTCCAGTGTTGTTGTAGTTTACCTGTTTAATCACTAGAGTAAATGTGTATCTACAGTTTTGAATCAGGCACCTTTAAGTCTTTCAAAAACCTGTTTAAGGGTTTAAGATCTTTTTGAGAGTCCATGTTTTCCTCAATGCAAATACAGAAAGCAGATGTTTACATTCAACAGAATGACTGCAGTGAAGTTCTAACTGTTGTAACTGACATGTACATCAGTGAGTTTTTATTATAACATCTTTATTATAACATTGTTTTTTACACTTAAAGATGTGGTACTGTAAAGCGTAAAGCATTTACTGCTTCAAGGTTTACTTTGCTTTTCAGTTAACAGTTATTTACATTTGAGTGGAACTTAAATATCAACAATTGGAATTTTCTCTGTGATGGAGTAAAAACAGAATCACTGAAGTGAAGCTGCAGTGAACAGTTTATCCTCCACAGCGCTGCCCCCTGGTGTTCAGGCACAGGGCTGCAGGTGCAGTGTTAGCGCCCCCTGGCTGTGGAGCTGCAGTAGACGCAGGAATTCCTCGGGCATGGCGTGCACTGCACGGTTTGGCTGTATTTTATCGTAGTAATGATAATTCACCGGCCGCTGGTGCAGGTCAGTGCTAAACGGCCAGAATCCGTACACGTGCACGTTCTCGCACAGCTCCAGCGCCGAGCTGATTAGCATAAATCCTGTTGATAGGCGCTGTGCCCTCAGGCCACGCCCCCTCCAGAATTGGTCCAGTGTGCGCAGGTAGGTGGGGCTTAAGAACAGCAGGTGGCGCTCAGGCCACATTGCCTGCAGCAGGTTAATGGACTGTTTAGTGCAGAATGTGTAGGCGAAGGCAGCGATCATGAAGGACGTGTTGGTGTAATCGCCCAGCCTTCGTCTTAAACGGCTGTCGTTACGCATGAAGTCAGAAAACCTACGAGGCAAAGAACAGTGATTATGTTCACTTCCAGTGCTACACTGTTAAAGAGGAATAGCTTTGTTTACGTTAAATAACAGTTATAATGTGTGTAGATGAGGCAGTGACTAACTCTCTGTTAATCTGGCTCAGGTTGATGTTCATCAGATCACATTTCACACCCACATCACTGTTATTGACTGGAGCCATGTTAAATCTGCTCAGACACATTAGAACGAAAATAATCATGACAGTGAAAAGAGTCATTAGAATTCGAACAATCATTAAACAGGTGCTGTTGGAAATATGATCAGTAGAGTCTGACCTGATGACAAGTTTTACCTGATGAGTTTTAGCAATGACCAGTGGTACATAATGATAGGTTTTAGCGGATAATGAGTTTTGCCAATACAATTTTCACACGATAACATGCTTTACTAATAAAGAATATCACCTTAAGAGTTTTAGCTGATGAGTTTTACCTGAAGATGAGCTGTACACAAAAACTAATTTTACATAACGAGTTTTGCTTGCTGAATAAGTGAATATGTCTGTACTATCTAACAAGAGAATTCATACAGTTATTGTTTACAGCTAACGTAGAAGTGGCATGATGTCATATTCCCGTTTATTGCGAGACTCAGCATCTGAACTCTTTCATTGTCATATCTTGGGATTTTAATCATGTTTCACTCTCCACCACTTTACAAAAGTTCCACCTGTTTGTTAGATATGCAACCAGGGAGAACAGAGTACTGGATTTTCTGTATGCAAATGTTAAGGATGCTTACTGTTCATCTGCCCTTCCTTCACTGGGAATATCAGACCACAACCTGGTTCTACTAACTTCCACATACCGGCCTGTGGTCTTAAGACAACCAGTGACAAAGAGGTCAATCAGGAGGTGGTCACCAGAGGCTGAGGAAGCTCTGCAGGTTTGCTTTGAGACCACAGACTGGGGAGTCTTGTCTGAATCTGCTAGTGGAGACATCAACAGGATGACAGACTGCATCACTGATTATATCAATTTCTGTACAGACACTATTGTTCCAGCCAGGCAGGTGCATTGTTTTCCCAACAACAAACCTTGGCTCACCAATGGGACAGTTTGGACACAGCCAGTGAGCTGAATGCATTCTTTTACAGGTTTAGCATGACATCATCCCCCTCCATAAGCACCCACCCACTCCCTCACCACCTACACCTTTTCCACACCACTATTCACACTCCACAGAGGTGACAACCAGCCAGGTGAAATGACAGCTGGAAAAGCTGAAATTGGGTAAAGCTGCTGGACTGGATGGGATCAGCCAGAGAGTCCTGAAGGTTTGTACATCTCAGCTATGTGGGATTCTTCAGCATCTCTTCAACCAGAGCCTTAAGGGCGTGTGCCAGTACGGTGGAAAACATCCTGCCTGGTTCCTGTTCCAAAGAAGTAATTTATCTCCTCTTTCAATGACTACAGACCAGTGGGCCTTACATCCCATGTCATGAAAGTCCTGGAGAGACTAGTGTTGTCACAGCTCTTTCCTGGACCCCCTGCAGTTTGCTTACCAATAGCAGGTTGTCATAGACGATGCTGTTATTTATCTAGTGCAGAAGGCACATTGCCATTTGGACCAGAACAACACCATAGTGAGAATCACTTTCTTTGACTTCTCAAGTGCATTTAATACCATCCAGCCTCTCATGCTGAGGGAGAAGGTGGATAAAATGCAGATGATTGCATGGGTCTTGGACTACCTGTCTGGTAGACCCCAGTATGTGCGGTTGGGAACCTGCCTGTCAGACCATCTGGTCAGCAGCATTGGAGTCCCTCAGGAAACTGTGCTCTCCTCCTTCTGCTTCACCCTGTATACAACAGACAAATATAGGTTGGACCACTGCCACCATCAGAAATTTTCTGATGACTCTGTGGTGGTATACGAGGAACCACCTGATCCTCAATGTGATCAAGACCAAGGAGATGGTGATGGACTTCAGGAGGAAGAGGACCATGATCGGTCCCATTACCATCATGGGTCAGAACTTTGAGCTGGTAGACACCTACAAATTTGTAGGTGTCCTGCTTGATAACAAACTGGACTAGAGGGCCAACACAGAGGCTGTGTACAGGAAGGGGATGAGCAGACTCTACTTTCTGAGGAGGCTCAGGTCCTTTAATATGTGCACCAAGATGTTGGAGATCTTCTAACAGTCTGTTGTTGTGGGCGCTGTCCTCTTTGCAGCAGTCCGCTGGGGAGGCAGCATCAGAGGGGGAGGCACAAAGAGGCTCAACAAACTGATCAAGAAGGCTGGCTCTGTCTTGGGATGATCACTGGATGGTTTTGAGGTGGTGGTTGAAAGGAGGTCACTTAATAAACTCACCGCTATCCTGAACAACACATCACACCCCTCCATGACCTACTGGTCAGACAGCGGAGCACCTTCAGCATCAGATTCATTCGGCCCCGCTGTAGTGAGGAAGGGTACAAGAGGTTGTTCGTACCAACAGCAATCGCACTGTACAACACCTCCTCACTGTGCCAGGACATTACTGTATACTGAGCCACTGACAGGACAGGCTCACTGACCACCAACTGGACATTATACATCTCTACTCTTTACTATGTACTGCCACTTGTTTATACATCCATAAATATTACATATTGCACTACCACTTAATACAGTTAATACACCTATGCTTATTGCACAACTATGAACATATTGTTTACAGTGTGTATGGTCACTTGGTTCATCCACTGAATGTGACATGCACCACTGCATTGTCACCTGCATAATATTTCTGCAATTTTATTTATTCTCATACTGTACATTATATTTTATGATTGTTTTAGTATATATTATATATTTTTACTTCTTCTATTTATGCACCTGTTTAATAACATTTAGTTCTTTATTGTACAACTATATATATATATATATATATATATATATATATATATATATATAATATAGTGGGGTGCGAAAGTTTGGGCAGCCTTGTTAATTTTCCTGATTTACCTTTATAAATCATTGATTGTTTGGATAAAAAAACTCAGTGAAATATATCATATAGGGGACAAACACAGTGATACTTGAGAAGTGAAATGAAGTTTATATGATTTACAGAAAGTGTGCAATAATTGGTTAAACAAAAGTAGGCAGGTGCATAAATTTGGGCACTGTTGTCATTTTATTGATTTCAAAACCTTTAGAACTAATTATTGGAACTCAAATTTGGTTTGGTAAGTTCAGTGACCCTTGACCTCCATACACAGGTGACTCCAATTATGAGAAAGGGTATTTAAGGGGGGCAATTGTAAGTTTTTCTCCTCTTTGCATCTTCTCTGAAGAGTCGCAGCATGGGAGTCTCAAAACAACTTTCAAATGACCTGAAAACAAAGATTGTTCACCGTCATGGTTTAGGGGAAGGACACAGAAAGCTATCTCAGAGATTTCAGCTTTCAGTCTCCACTGTGAGAAACATTGTGAGAAAATGGAAGACCACAGGCACAGTTCAAGTCAAGGCTCGAAGTGGTAGACCAAGAAAAATCTTGAATAAACAGAAGCGAAGGATGTTGAGAACAGTCAGAGTCAACCCACAGACCAGCACCAAAGACCTACAACATGATCTTGCTGCTGATGGAGTCACTGTGCATCGTTCAACTATTCGGCGCACTTTACACAAGGAGATGCTGTATGGGAGAGTGATGCAGAGCAAGCCTTTTCTCCGCCCACATCACAAACAGAGCCACTTGAGGTATGTTAGAGCACATTTGGACAAGCCAGCTTCATTTTGGAATAAGGTGCTGTGGACTGATGAAACTAAAATAGAGTTATTTGGGCATAATAAGGGTCGTTATGCATGGAGGAAAAACAACACAGCACTCCAAGAAAAACACCTGCTATCTACAGTAAAATTTGGTGGTGGTTCCATCATGCTGTGGGGCTGTGTGGCCAGTACAGGGACTGGGAATCTTGTTAAAGTTGAGGGACGCATGGATTCCAATCAATATCAGCAGATTCTGGAGATCAATGTCCAGGAATCAGTGACAAAGCCGAAGCTGCGCCGGGGCTGGATCTTCCAACAAGACAACAACCCTAAACACTGCTCAAAATCTACTAAGGTATTCATGCAGAGGAACAAGTACAACGTTCTGGAATGGCCATCTCAGTCCCCAGACCTGAATATTATTGAAAATCTGTGGTGTCACTTAAAGAGAGCTGTCCATGCTCGGAAACCATCAAACCTGAATGAACTAGAGATGTTTTGTAAAGAAGAATGGTCTAAAATACCTTCAGCCACAATCCAGACTCTCATTAGAAGCTATAGGAAGCATTTAGAGGCTGTTATTTCTGCGAAAGGAGGATCTACTAAATATTGAGTTAAGGTTTTTTTTTTGGTGCCCAAATTTATGCACCTGCCTAATTTTGTTTAGACAATTATTGCACACTTTCTGTAATTCATATAAACTTCATTTCACTTCTCAAGTATCACTGTGTTTGTCCCCTATATGATATATTTAACGGAATTTTTTTATCCAAACAATCAATGATTTATAAAGGTAAATCAGGAAAATTAACAAGGCTGCCCAAACTTTCGCACCCCACTATATAAATATATATATATATATATATATATATATATATATATATATATATATATATATATATATATATGAATATATTAATATAAATGAAAACAAAATGCAATTATGTGCAAATTATTTAAACTCTATGTTTATTTAAAAATAGTACAAACACAACATATAAAATGTTTAAATTGAAAATTGTATTGTTTTTCGGAAAATTATGTGCACATTTGAGTTTGATGGCAGCAACACTGTAGCACGTCATGTGCTACCCTGGGCTCAAGGAGGACACTGGAGGCAGGAAAAATGTTTGCAGCAGCCATTTTCTTTACTTTCACACATCAAATAAACACATAACACACAACCAACTCAAAGCTACTCTAAGCCGGCGCGCATACATTCCAAAAAAATTTGGGACGGGGGCAACGAAAGGCTGGTAAAGTTGTGTAATGCTAGAAAAACACCTGAAAGTTAATTGGCAACAGGTCAGTAACTGGCTATAAAAAGTCTTTCAGAAGTAAAGATGAGGAGGGGTTCACCACTCTGTGAAAGACTGCATGAGCAAATAGCGCAACAATTCAAGAACAATGTTTCTCAGTGTAAAATAGCAAAGAGCTTTTGCTTTTCATCATCTACAGTACATAATATCATTAAAAGGAACAATATTTGCTGGCTGTAATCTTTGGGACCTCAGGCAGCACTGCATTAAAAACAGACATGATTCTGTAGAGGAAATCACTGCATGGACTCAGAAACACTTCTGAAAAACACTGTCTGTGAAAACAGTTCATCACTGCATCCACAAATGCAAGTTAAAACTCTAAAACACAAAGAAGGAACCAAATATAAACAGGGTCCAGAAACGCTGCCACCTTCTCTGGGCCTGAGCTCATTTAAAATGGACTAAGCTGAAGTGGAAAAGTGTCCTGTGGTCTGACGAATCAACATTTTAAATTTTTTGGAAATCATGGACACTGTGTCCTCCGGACTAAAGACCACTCAGCTTGTTATCAGTGCCCAGTTCAAAAGCCAGTATTCATGATGGTATAGGGGGGCATTAGTGCACATGGCATGGATGACATGCACATCTGTGAAGGCGCCATTAATGCTGAATGATATATACATGTTTTGGCAACATATGCTGCCATCCAGACAACGTCTTTTTCAGGGAAGGCCTTGATTATTTCAGCAAGACAAAGACAAACCACATTCTACATGTATTACAACAGCATGGCTCCGTATTAAAAGAGTCCAGGTGCTAAAGTGACCTGCCTGAGGTCCAGACCTTTCACCACATTTCACTTTCAGAACTACAGCAGTGTCTCCTCAGTTCCCAAACACTTACAGAGTGTTGTTAAAAGAGGAGGTGATGAAACACAGTGGTAAACAGGCCCCCGTCCCAACTTTTTTGGAACATGTTGTTGGCATCAAATTCAAAATGGGCACAAATTATGAAATATAGGGTTTAAATAATTCGCACATCATTACATTCTGTTTTTATTACATTTTGCATAGCATCCCAACTTTTTTGGAAATGGGGTTGTACTTTGTGCTGCTGTAATAGACGACTTTCCCTCTGAGATTAATAAAGAGATCTATCTATCTATCTAATTGTAAGTAATGATAAGATTCCCATCTGAGAAGTTTTGCTTGTTGATGAGTTTCACTTGATTGTGAGTTTTACCTGATGACGAAATCTGCACTGTCGATTTCTCTTCCACAGCTACTGTTGAGTATAATCCCACCACTGCCCACCACAGCACAGCGGCCCAGAGAGCGCCCCCTCCAGGGCATGTCCTACACACACACACACACACAGTTGGCTGACGAAAACGTTTTACAGTGAGTGAAGTAGGAGTGATTTCATTAGAGAGTCAAACATTTATAAAAAAAAATAAAAAATCTGTGGTTAAGCGCCGCCCCTGGCCCTGCCCACTCTGGTCATCAGCAGTGAAGCTGGACTGAAGTCCTGACTGAGCCGTACCTGAGGCAGCTTGATGTACACATCAGGTCTGAGTTTGTATTTGGCGTTTGGTCTGGTTTCATACGGAACGCTCTGATTAACCTCAGAGTTCTTCTGGGTCAGGAACAGAGAACCGGACGCATTACAGTAGGAACTCAACCGCACTCTACCAGAGAGAGAGAAAGAAAAATAGAGAAAGAGATACTGTGAGAGAGAATATAGAGAGAGGTAGATACAGAGAGAGAGAGAAAGAGATACAGAGAGAGAGAGAGAGAGAGAGAGATATGAGAGCATTAACAGACTGTATCCCTGATTTGTTATTAAAGGTTTGCTTTGTATAGACACTGTTGAAGAGGAGGCAGAGCTCAGTAATGTTACAAAAATGCTGAAAAACTCATTATAGGAGGAGGTGCAGCCTTTCCTTTGCAAAGCCTTGGGCCACAATATTGCGACCTTTCCTGGTATTAATGCCGCTTTAATGTCGTAATTCTACAACTTTTTTCTCAAGACATTGCAACTTTTTTTCTCTAAATGTTAAGACTTTTTTCTCGAAATAATCCGACTTTTTTATTCTCAAAATATTAAGACTTTATTCTTGAACTCCACAAACAGACTTGTGGCAGAGGTGGCATCCTACAACAGTGCCATGTTTAAAGTCACTGAGCTCTTCAGTACGACCCTCTACTACCAGTGTTTGTCTATGGTGACTGCAAGACTATGTGCTTCATTTGATCCACCTGTTAGTAATGAACGTGGCTGAAACACCTGAACTCAATAATTAGGAGGAGTGTGAACTTTCCTTAGGCCATATAATGTATCTTATGCTTTACTGATCAACAGTGACTGAGGAAAAGTAAAGCAGTAAGATAAAGAATGAATTACAGTGTCACTAGGAGAATAATATCATAGATATACAGTTTAGTAATAAAGATATAGAGTGTAGTATCACAGGTATAAGGTGTAGTACTGACAAATATACAGCAGAACTGTCTTATTCTCAAACTGAGAGTTGATAGTAAGTAAAAGACAGTACAGCACTCAGTTCTTGAAATGGAAACGATTAAGTGCCAGTGCACTGATTTCTGGGTTACCCGCATAAGCAAATCAATAAGTAGTGAATACTGAAAATTTGCATCAAGTAATTAACAATATTGAAGATACAGAAACACAAAATTCTAATTTTCTGTAACACGTGCATCACTTGCTGATATTATTCACACTTTCACACTGAGACAACAATACTCAGAATACAATACTGCCCATTGGCTCATTGGACTAGGGGTATTATTCTCACTTAGGGTGAGAGGTCTGGGTGCGAAGTTTTTAAAAACAGTGTCCACTTACTGTCTATTCTATTAGACATACCCACCTTTTGGTCCATCTTGTAGATGTAAAGTCAGAGACAGTAGCTCATCTGTTGCTGCACAGTTTGCAATGGTCATCGTCTATTCCTTCATCAGTGGTTAGAGGACGCTGCCCTAAGGACACTATTGGCTGCATATTTTTGGTTGGTGGACTATTCTCAGTCCAGCAGCAACACTGAGGTATTTAAAAACTGGCCATTAAAGAACAGGGTAAAAGGGGGCTAACAAAGTATGCAGAGATGGACTACAGGCTGTAACTGTAGAACTACAAAGTGCATCTATATGATAAGCAGAGCTAATAAATTGATCAAAGAGTGTAGATACAAGAAGTGACTACCCTCGCCAGCAAAATAACCCAATGAATAAAAGCAAACAAATAAACTAACAAATAAAGAACAAATAAACATATCAGGTATATCTCATATATCAGGTATGGTGATTTAACAAATCTATGTGATGGCTAGGGTTTTTTAAGAGAAATTTGGGACTAACTTTGTTCTTTTAACTAGCTGAAAAGACATGAACTACTGTTTCGAAAACAAGAAATTCTTATTACTTTTAGTGCATTAATGCAGTAAAAGTAATAATGTAAAAGTAATACACCCCATAAGGACAGAATTACACAACAGTGTGTGAGTCTGTGTGATTGGACATTAATAAGCTATGTTGCACTCTTCATCCGTCATTACAGACAAGACAAAATCAATCCTGTCATGATTCTATTGATCTGATTTGTCTCCATACTGGGAAACACTCATCGCTTTAATCGATACATAACAAATCACTACTGTTGTGTCTGTTTCTTTTCAAACCTTTTATAGACATTTCTCTTTGAAACAAAACAACAGGATGCATTGTATTTTAGGACTAATGAAACTGAATATTAAAACTAATATGTCACGGGAATTTATTTATTACCACAAATGCTCAGCCTGTTAGTTGTTCTTTGTGACAGCAGTGTGTTCATCCATGTGTTTGTGTGTGTGTAAAGCAGTGAAAATCACCTTCACAGGTGTGTCCATCCTCTTTCAAGTAATAACCAAGGCGACAGTAGCACTGGTAGGAGCCATAAACGTTGGCACACTCTTGACTGCAGGGGTTATTATCACATTCGTTAAGATCTACGAGAAACAGAGACAAAGGAAACACAATTTACTGGAATAGCCAAGACTCCTATAAATTGGTTAAAGTTTAAACAGCTCTTGATGACAGATATGTACTAATTTTAATGCATATTTTTTATGTCTATTGTTATTTTAATTATTAGTGCAGCAAATTGCCAGGAATATATAACATAAGGTAAAGTAAGGTACCAACTTTAATGAGAAGTAATGGAAGATACCAGTTTAATGAGTAGTAATGGACTGCACCAGTATAGCAGAAGGTGATAGGGGTACTAGTTCAATAAGAAACAATGGAAGGTCAGCATTTGTTTTCACGCGCTGACCTTCCAATTTTAATGAGCATAACGTAACATAACCTAACATAAAGTAAATGGAAGGTACCATGGCCATGGATGTAGTTTTTTTTTTCGACACATCGTCCACATTAAGTGCTGCCTCGACGGATTTCGTTGTCTCATCTGTTTATTCTTCTTCCTTTTCTCACGTGGTAACTACTGGGGCCTGAAAGCCATGAAAATAGCCAATCACGGGTTCACTATGTCCCCCCTCTCCTACCTTCCTTGCTTCATATCCAGTAGGGAGTCAATTTGCGCTTCGTTAGGTGCCTTAATACAATTGGCTGATTTAGTGAGTAAAAGTAAAAAGTATTAAGAAACAGAAATACTCAAGTACCTATACCTAAAAAAATTACTTAAGTACAGTAACAAAGTTACTTAACACCTGTAGAAGGTTGCAGTTTAATGAGAGGTAATAAAAGGTTGCAGATTAATGAGAGATAATGGAAGGAACTAGTTTAGTGAGAGGTAATCGAAGGTACCAGGTTAATGAGAGATAACAGAATGTTGCAGTTTAATGAGAAGTAATGAAAGGTACTAGTTTAGTGAGAATTAATTGAAGTTACCGGTTTAATGAAAGGTAATGCAAGGTATTGATTTAGCAAAAGCTAATGGAGGTACTGATTAAATGAAACATAGCTTTAGTGGGAGGTCACAGAATGCAGCAGTTTACTGAGAGGTAATAAAAGGTACCAATTTATTGAGAGGTAATGAAGGTAGCATTTTAATAAGATGCTCTGGAAGGTACCAGTTTAATGTGAGGTAATTGAGGTAGCAGTGCAGTTTGAAGCTGTGGAAGGTACCAGTTTCATGAGAGGTAATGGAAGGTAGCAGTTTAGTGAGAGGTAAAGGAATGTACCAGTTTAGCGAAAGGAAATGGAAGGTAGCCTTTTGGAAAAAGCTAATTAAAAGGATTGGTTTAATGAAAGGGAATGATTTAAGGAGAGATAATGAAGGGTACCAGTTTATTGAGAGCTAATGGAACTACCAGTTTAATAAAATGCTATGAAAGGTACTAATTTAGTGAGAGGTAATGGAAGATACCAGTTTTGTATCAGGAAATTGAAAGTACCAGTTTAATGAGATGTAATGGCAGGTACAAGTAATACGATGCTATGGAACATACCAGTTTAGAGAGAAGTGATGAAAAATAATATTTTAAGAAGCAATGGAAGGTACAGGTTTAATAAGAGGTAATGGAAGGTTTTGGTGAAGTGAGAGGTAAAGGAATGTACAAGTTTTGTAAAAGGTAATAGAAGGTATGGGTTTAGCAAAAGCTAATGGTGGTACCGGTTTAATGAAAGGTAATGGAGTTCTCAGTTCAATAAGATGCTACGGAAGGTACCAATTTAACGAGAGTTAACTGAAAATCCTACTTCAGGTAATAAGAGAGGTAATGGAAAGTGGCAGTTTAATGAGATTTAATGGAAGGTACTAGTTAAGTGAGAGGTAAAGGAAGGTTCAGTTTAGTGAGAGGTAATGGAAGGTGCCAGTTTAATAGAAAGTAATGGAAGATACCTTCACAGTTCTTTCCGTCAAATGCAAGAGAGAAGCCAGTGGTGCAGGAGCACTGATAGGATCCTGGAGTGTTTTCACAGGACTGAGCACACAAACGGCCCGGATAACGCCAACACTCATTCACATCTACACAGAAAGAGAGAGAGAAAGAGAGAGAAGAGCTCTTAACAGTCCAGCTACACTCACACACCATATGAAGCAGTGTTTCTCAGCATTAGTCCTAAGGTAGGGCAATATGGCAGAAATATAATATCTCGATCCTTCAGGAATCTGATATGTGATTAGTAGCTTTAATAGTAGTATAATAATGTTCTCTTTGTAGTAAAACATGAAGTTGGTCTGTGGTCTTAAGGTACTGATGATATCCATGATATGCTCAGAAAAGCATGTTGTGGTATAAAGTGATGCAATTTATTACAATTTTGATGTGTACCATTACATGTAGGAGTGTTATAGCAGGAAAATACTAATATGCTGTTGCTGTTGTAAGCAAATCTTGCATCTCTGAATTCATAACTTTATAGATCCTCGATTCTTTTGAGCACATTTAAAGAATCAGTATGTCTTTAAAGATGGTAAACCTCGATCCATTATGATGAAATTCAAGGAGGCCTCAATTCAGTCTCTCTGACATACTTGACATACTTTTTATATCTGTCTTATTATATTTATAATGTTGATAATGGTAAAATAGTGGTAAATTTGATAAAACATGCTTTCTTTGCCTGAAAACGCCCTGCATGCACCTCTCCACCACAAATAGCTTTAAATCAGTGCCTCAGTCATCAGCCAGCGTACATGTATCCATTTAGTGTATCTGCAAGGTAGCTTTAAGAGACAGTAATTGCTTCAAATGTCTGGTTCCAACCACCACTGCAAACACTTCTGACTTGGTATATTTCTATAGAATGGAGCATTGTACATCAGATCACTCAGAATGACTTTCAATGATCTTAACAACTGCATTAGAAATGTTTGAAAATGTGGTGGAATTTCTTTTTAATGTTGGTTTTCATGTGGTTCTACAACCCACACAAATCTTGTGAGAGACGTACCAACGCAGGTCCTGCGGCTGGAGTCGTATTGGTATCCAGTTTGGCAGTCACAGCGGAAGCTGCCTGGTGTGTTGTGGCACACTTGTCCTTCCCCACAGCGGTGCGTTCCCATCGCACACTCATCCACATCTACTCACACAGCAGGACACTCAAACACAGCCAAACAGCTACAAAGGACACTCACAAGTTCAGCTGTAAACTGGGTAACACCTGTTTCTGATGGTTCACATTAACTTTAACTTGCGTTTAACCAAATATCTAATATCTGAATATCTAATTCACCTAACCTTATCCTCAATCCTAAATAACACTTATTTTAACCATAACTTTCACCCTTAGGATTATGATAGGAGTTATTATTGTAATTATAGAAGTTAATATTGTCTGTTATAATATTATCATCCAACATAGTAATGTTCAATAAAGTATTTGTTTTTGCATTTTTTTGCCAAAATTCTTGGGCAATTTTTCAACATAAATCTAAAAAAGCTTGGTGTATTGTTTTTATTGTTTATATTCCACTACTGTGTAAAGAGTTCCTGCAGTCATGTATGTATTCGGTAACACTTCTTTGGATAGCTCACTGTAAATGCTTCATAGATGCTTATCTTGCATCTAATTTGCATTCTACTAATTATCTATTAACTTTACCTTAATTTACTGTAACCCAAAATCTTGACCTAACCCAAAAATCTAAATCTAAACCTTACCCTGACAATGTTGAGGATCATTTGCTTTCAACAAATAGTTTGATGATAAATTGAAGATCTATCTGTATAGATAATCTACTGGGGGTTATCCAAATGAAGTGAGACCATGTATTCAGTGCATTTTTAAACATCATTCTGAATCATACCAAAACAATCCAATCAAACCTGGGAGAACTGTGAAATTAGATGGTGCCAGGGGTGCAAATTTGGTCTGACAAGTGGGGGTACCAATCTCAGAAGGTTATAGCCTACATACAAAATTAGCAGCACATAAATGTTGCCAATTTCATACATAAACTAGAATATGATGTCATTATGTCATGATGTCTAATGCTTTAGATGTCAATAATAAAACACAAAATCGAACAATATAGTGTAGACAGATAAAGATCACATAACGTTGATACAACTAAAAGGTAGTAAATTAGCTGTTAGGCTACCTGCTTCACTAAGAGAACTAACACTAACAGAGGGGAGACGTATCTCTCATCACCTGCTGAATTTGCACTAATGAATGACGCACTAAATCATTTCCAAAAGAATTGTGATTTAATAAAATCATTGTGAGATATTACTATTCTTAGTGTGTGTGTGTGTGTGTGTGTGTGTGTGTGCATGCTCACCTACGCAGCGTGCTCCATCAGGGCTGGAATGAAATCCCCGGCTGCATGTCATGATTTTGCGCTGGCAGGTGTACGATCCCACTGTGTTGATACAGTTAAAGCCCGAAGTACATGGTTCCGATAATGCACTGCACTCATCTACATCTGAAAGAGAGGAGCAGGGAGGAGAAGGGGTATTCAGAATTCATGCAACATCTCATTCAACCTAATGAGAAACTGTCACGCACAAGACGCAACTTTGCAGGTATGGAGAAATATTCCTTTTTTTATATTTCTTTGAAAAACTGAAAGCAAGCATCATGAAAATAATGGAAAATAAGTAATGAAGGAAAAATATACTATAAAATAAATGAGGGGTGCAGTTTCCACTACCAAGCTGGACTTTGTTGCTGTAGCTAATCAAAAATAGGCAGTTTGAGAACAGCAAGTAATAATGTCTCATCTCATCATCATTTGAATTAACAACACAGTCTAAATTGAGGTGTTTTGACAAACAATTTCTCACATCCTAATTAATAGCCAAAATTTCAGGCCTGATTAAAATTCAAGTACCTTTAGTACAGTGCCAACATGATTATAACCCTAACAGATGACAGTTTTAAATATACAGTAGTTCACAACACTATAGAAAGCAGCAGTGTTAATGTTTTTAAGAGATTTTAAAAGTGGAAAAAAGAAATGATTGTAAAAACAACGTAAGGGGATGTATGTCTAGCAGAGTGTATGTGGACTGAAACATTGACTAAAATGGAGGCATTATCTGTTCCATCAGACTGACAAATAAAAGACGCTAAAGAAACACTTTCAGTGTGAGCTGGCCTTTAGTCTCTGCTGCTCGCTGCAAGATAAGTTTACAACTGAAGAGCAAAAGAACTAATTATTTTTTTCCATTGAGGACGTATCAGAGTAGAATATCATTCACATGGAACAGACTGGAAATCAAAGAGAGAAAGAGACCCACAGATAAGACTGGCCTTGTTGGAGATTAGAGGCGTTGGCTAATCAATAATTTCAATCTTTCCCGACATGATATGCAAGTCTTTTCTAAGAAATGATGTTATCGAAACTAAAAGTGCATGATCCAGAGAGTGTATTCTTTCCTTTCAGTCAGTTGGCGGATGTGGGGCTGTTTTTAGCATTTTTTAAAACACAGTGTGAGTGTGATTCTCCTGGAGCCTCAAATATCACCGTGCACATTTGATTTATCACATTTATACTGTGTGTGAGAATGCATGTATAGTTATGAATAGCAGAACTATTCATATCCAGGCATATGCAGAAACAACTAGTGATAGAAAAGCGTAATTGCAGGTAAACTGTTCATGAGACACAAGTCTCATTTTTTGCAGCTATTTCTGCATAATTGACCGTAAAATTCAGCTTGGCATGCCTCGCAGCCAATCACAATCATCTTTAAACGTTCCACATCAAGAAAACAGAACTCCTCCAAACAATCCTGCAGTGACAACGATGGTGGCAGTAAAGTAGTCTGAATTATTAAACTAAGAAATGGTGGAAAGTTTTTACTGAGGAATGTATAATGCCTGACACACACTTGATCTCGGGAGTGGTGCTGTTTTTATTTCATTCATGAAGCTGAAAAAGTTTTGGATTAATCTTATACGGAAGACCAAGATCAACATCAAAACTTTTAAAAGACAGGGCGTAATGCTCTAAGATAAGTTAAACTTTATCTGGGTTACTGAACTGGCTAAAAATCATTTTAAAGATCCCCTGAACTTTTTAAATGGTAAACTCCTCTTGCATGGCTTATTATGGTTAAAGACTTATTGTGATGATACAGACAGTGGTTGACCTTGCTTTTCTTGAGATCTTGACACATACGAATTGTGCAGGAAGTGTGTTTTATAACACAGTGTTTTAGCTTATCTTAATATTTCAAAAATCCAATGCAGACAAGTACAATTGTATTAATATTAATAGAAAATGAATGTGAAATGTAAGCAACCCAATTCTAACTTTTACTAGCAGGTGTTCTAGCATGTACAAATTTAGGGTGACACTTTGAGTAGTCTTTTTAAATGAAATAAACACAACAGATTCTAAGTAGCATATCAACAACATATCAATGATGTAGAAGCAGTGAATACATTCAGTAGATTATCGAGACTTTCAATTAACTGCGTTGAAAAATTGTTTATAATCTGCTGAATTCAGTTGTTTTTCACTTTATTTGGTGTCCAAGTTCATATCTGTAGATATTCACCTGAACACTGAACATGTAACAGGTTTAATACAGACCATCTCAATATCTTCAACAAGCTTCTGACACAATTCTGTAACTGGAGCTTAATTGGATTAGGTTTGGTTAAAGTTAAGGTCAGGATTAGGTTTAGGGCCAGGGCAAGGGTTAGAATTAGCTTTTGGGTTGAGGTTAAGGTTAAGGTTAGGATTAGGGCCATGGGGAGGGTTAGGATTAGGTTTCGGATTGAGGTTAAGGTTAGGGTTAGGAATAGGGCCAGGGTGGGTTTAGGGTTAGGTGTCGGGTAAGGCTGGGTAAAGTTAGGTTTTGCATAACGGAAGTAACATATTAACTACCTCATGTAACATAACAATACATCTACTTAATGTAAGTAATGTATCAACAGTACATTTTCAAGATATTTACCTCAACATATTCAGATCCTTTACTACTGCTACGTCACTGATATGTTGTTGATGTGTTACTGAGTTTATTAATCTTTTACAAACGACCACTCAAAATAGCATTACCAAACGTTAATGCTTTTCCCAGTTCTTTTAAAATGGAGATAAAATTTTCACTAGCTTAAATTTAACTTTGATTAATGGTAAGTCAAGCGTAAAAAGTAAAAATTAAATGTTGTAATGATTAAATAAACATTGTTAAATAATTATGTATTATTAAATTAAATATATTCCAGTTGAAATATGAAAATGTCAGCATTGCATGTTAAAAATTCATTATTAGCCTTGCATTAAACAGTGGAATTTTCATGCAACTGGTTGACGCAATTTGACAGTTACACGAAGCAATTAAAAAAGTCACACACAACATATTCAGTTACTCCAAATAAAACAGCTTGTATTGTTTGATCAATCATGTCGTTCTTACAATATAAATTCATCTGCGATGTGTAATCAATCCACAAATGAATACATACACACTTAAAAAATGGTTCTTCAAGGGTTCTTTAGTACAAAAAATGGTTGGAAATAGAACCACGAACAATCATAGAACCCTTTGCATGATTAAAGGGTTCTTTAGATTGATGGAGAATGTGCTGTATATGGTTCTATATAGAACCTTTTATATAGTACCAAAAAAGTTCTTCTACTGTTATGATGTCAAACCTGTAACAATAGAACAACCCTTTTTGTGGTATATGTATACTTATATATAAACTTTAGAAATGCCACACTTAACACTTGTGTGGTGTTGATGTTTTTGTTACTCAGTGGGCTGGTGGACCCACAGCATTATTGTTTTTTAAATGAATACAGCCATAACAATTTAACATATCCCAAGTGGCCAGCGTAGGGTTCTCCTTTAGCAGCTGTAGCCAGTCAGCAGCTTGTCCATCTTGTCCACCCTCACACACACGCATACGTATACAAACACATACACATACAAAGACACACACACTAACAGCAGGCCATGTTGGAGGAGAACAGAGTGAAGGGACACAGCACCTCCACACTTTTATTCCCCGTGGGTTCACCCCAACACCACATGTGTATAAACGTGTAGGGAGTGTACAGTGTGAAGTCACTGAAAATGTGTTATTTTATGCGTTCTTCACAGAAAATGTGCATAGGCCAAGGAATCTGGGGTTGAAATAATAATAAATTGCACCATTTTTTTAATTTGGTAAACACTGAAAATGGGTCCCACAGACCCCAACACCATACAAGTGTTAAGTTTTTTCCCTGTAGATAATTTGTTAATTTATTTTAAGATATACAAAGCATGTAATTTGACTGAGAGTGTTCAAACCTTTGCACACAGTTGTATACATATAGCTAGCTTGTTTAACACGTGCTGAAACGGCCCAACAATATTCATTTGTCTTTATGGGTGAAGCATTGGCTTTTGTATGTTGTTGCCTTTTTGTTGTAATGCTGCAAGTCAGGGCAGCAAAATTATATTTAGCCTAGAACAGCAAAATAGCACACGCCGGCCCTGTGCTTAGGATCTATCATCATTCATTGCAAGCAGCTGTGCGTATGCACTTTCATTAAATACCAATTATGTAGTCTGTACTGGCGGTTCTTCCACAGAGATTCAGAACATGTTCTTCTCACACTTTGATTAATGAGACCCTGGATTTTTAACAGAGATCAAACAGATATCAAAGCAGCAGGTCTTTGAGTTCTAGATATTTCCAGTAGGGGGCAGTAACTCTCTCTTATTCTCTCTCTCTCTCTCTCTCTCTCTCTCTCTCTCTCTCTCTCTCCCTTGCTCTCTCCCAGCTGTGTCTTTCTTGACATGAACGACATATATTATATTTTGTTATTTCGATCATAATATGTTTTATCATTTTCATTTATTATCTTTATTATTTTTTCACACTCTGTCACTCATTCATTCATCCTCTCCCTCACTTTTTCTCTCAGCACTACTTTCTTCACATGAATGATATATATAATACATTGTTACCTCTATCGTCATACTTCATTGTCTTTCATTAATATTATTTTTTATACTCTATCTTTCATTCATTCTCTCTCACTCTCACATTCTCCTTCATTCATTTTCTTTCTGTCACTCTCTCTTTCACACTTCTCATTTATTCTCTCTCCGTCTTTCTTTCACTCACCCCTCTCTCTTGCACTGTAATTCTCTCATTCCCACTCTCCCTTATTCATTCTTTCTCTCATACATTCTCCCACTGATCCTCTCTCCCTGTCTTTCATTCTCTCTCTTTTGTCCATTTTCTCCTTCGCCTCTCACACATTCTTTCCCTTATTTATTCTTTCTCTCTCTCTCTCTCTCTCTCTCTCTTATATATTTTCCTTGTGTGATGCCTTTGTTCTCTCTCTTTCTCCATCACAATCTTTCACCTTTATGTGTTCTCTATCTTTCTCTCTCTCATCCACTTCTCTCTCTTTCTCACTCTCTCCCTTATTCATTCTTTTTCTCTATATATTCTGTTTAACACACTCCCTCTCTCTCTCCCTCTCTCTCCCTCTCTCTCTCTCTCTCTCTCTCTCTCTCTATCTGCTATGTACTCTTCTGCATTTATTCCCTTTCCTTTTCTCTGTCCCTTATTAATTTTCTCCCTTTTCTCTTATTCATTCTCTTTCTTTCTCACTGTTTCATCCATTCTCTTTTTCTGTTTTACTTCTCTCTTCTGTCCATCCCCTCTCTATTTCTCTCTTGCCTCTCTCTCTCTCTCTCTCCTTCACATCCACCCTATTTATTCTTATTTATTCTCTCTATTTTCTCTATTCTTTCTCTCATGCATTCTCTCTCTCTTTCTCACCGATGCAGTTGCCGTGGGGGTCCTGTGTGAATCCAGTGAGGCAGCGCTGTTGTTTCGGGCTGCAGTGGAAGGAGCCGAGTGTGTTCTGGCACTGGAGTCCTGGTGCACAGTTGTGGCTCCGCAGCACACACTCTTCAATGTCTGCAGGACAGAGCAGGCCAGGTGTTAGAACAGACCTCACAGGCAGGTGCATCATTAAGGTTAACTGATTGGTCTGGATAGTGAGGTTGATTGTTTGAGATATCACTGCATGACTGATGACTACTATTTGATCTAAGCTTGATCGTTGATTAATGAAAGTAAAGCACTTTTGTAGCTTGATTAGTTTCAAGACAGGAGGTTGTGTAATGCCATGTGGCCGGCTGGTACGTGACAGATGTCTGCTAACCTACCTGACCCAAGCCCAGCAAGGCCTGCCTGACAAAATATCAGGTTTTGGGCTGTATTTGAGTCTCATTTTATTTTTATTTTCATTTTTCACATGCTACATCCAGCTCGGGACAAGTTCAAGTTAGTTTTGTAATGTGTGATTTTTTTATGTAGAAACTTTGTTTTATCTGAAAGAATGTGCCTTAAATTTAGCACTTTCTCATTGCATTTTCTGTCTTACATGCTCTCTCTCTTTTCCTACTATTGTCTATACACACTACAGTTAAGTTTACAGCAAAGCTATATACAAATAAGGCTTGTATTGTATGTGCATGCAGGCGGGTTTAGGTCTTAAATTCAACAGCACCAGTCAGGCCTGGTCTGGTGGGGTCTCAAAGTCGCAGGTACAAGTCGGACTCAGGCTTTAATTACACACATGTGCAGACCACTAGTACTGGATAAAGTATCTGTGTAATTTCACTAAATTCCCAGAAATTGCCCTGGCTGAAAGGTAACAGCCTGGATGTCTACATCAGCTTTAGGCTAGAGGATACACTCAATAACAGGCTGTGTCTATAAGGAGGTTTTGTTATTGTGTTAGCGTGACATCCACTCACATAAGGCCATTCGCACTATAGTTATTACTGTCAAGACAGTAAAAAACAAAGCACACTGCCCTTGTATGGGATCTGTTTGAACACATTTTGTGTAAAAACTTACATAAAATTAACAAATCTGCTTTGAGAGTGCAGAAACACCCCAGCTAAAACTAATTCAGCTCCAACAGGGCTTAAGAATTAAGAAAGAGACACTGAAGGTGCAGAAACCAGCAATAGCCAGTAGGTGGCACTGTGGCTCAATGACAGAGCATAGTTATTTTGAGGGAGAGAATTCATTACAGGATCACTGACACCTTCACCAAAACACGCCCAGCATTTTCCTCTGCTTGCCAACACCCTTTCTGCTGCATATTTGCCTTCTCGAAGACAGAAAACCCGTTTTGTTGATGAACTTATAAGGTGCGGCTCAACTGGGCAACATCATTACTTCAACAGATTAGCATTAGCTTCGCTAACCGTCTAAGAGTGCAATCATAATTAGAGGTTTCTGTGGTCCAGTCCAAAACCTCTGTACAACCTCATTGCAGGAAATTCTCTTCTTCTCTTTCAAGCACGTAATTAGTTCACTCCCTTGTTCTCTCGTTTGCCAATTATTATCTTAATTATCCCTACGCGTTTATTGCTCTGTCCCACGCCAGCCGCCGACAAGAATCAAAGGCCTTAGCAAAGTTTTTGCCCAGCTCAGTGTGTGTGCATTATATTTGACTTACATATTAGAGATACTTTGGATTTTTTCATAGTGTTCTTGCTAATGTTGACTCGCTGGATTGTTCCTCTTTGTTTACTTTTTATTGAGCAACTGTTGGTAAAAACCTTTTTCTGTGGGATTAACATTTTTAATATCTTCAGCTGTTGATGGATCTATCTGACATCTGTCCCAAAAGACGTCCAAAAAACATCCTGCTTGATCTCTCTGATGTCAGAAGACATTCAGCTGTTAGCCGACTGTTACTTTACAGCTAATCTTCAGTGGTGCAGCTTGATTAGATGTGCTGGGCTCTATTCTGCATTTTTAGATGAAAGAAGATAAAAGAGACCCTGTGGTGGATCTGTGATGGGGTCAGAGGACACAAAAAAGCCCCAGTGTTCATTGGGTCTGTTCGTTTTCACCACCTGGTTAGCTTTGATAGTAGCTGCTACTCAGGACCAGGAGCTGGAATGCTGCCTGTGGATGATAACTTGGAAGATTCTATTTAAAAGCAAAGCTCCTTTGAAAAGTTTTCATAGGTCCCCTATGTGCCTGTGATGGTTAGCTGGTCCTAGATTAGGACAGAATGGTCAAAAGTACACCTACAGACAAGAATTAAGGCTTCAATATACTTTTTGTCTCTTTTTTCTACGTAACAGTATGTCATACAGTGTCAGAAACCACATAAGAAAGTCTGTTTGAAATGACTAAACTCCACATGGAGGCAAAGTTTGTGATGAATTAGGCATGCAGTTTGCACAGTGCTAACCGGTGAAGTATAACCTTCCATTACTTAGCTGTATTAGCCTTACAGCTCTAGTGCTAAACAAAGGAAGCAAACTTTGGATGCTAAATATGTCTTGGCTGATTGACAAAATTGTGAAAATTAGATTTTTTGCCAAACTATTCCTTTAAAGACTTTTTGACCAAAGCCCGACAAGATGCTCCTAAAGAGCACTGAAAGAAAAGAGTGGTGTGTAACTAAGATCTAAAAATTCAATTTTTTGGATTACACAGCAAGCTCATCATAATGACCTCGTAATGACCATTTAATACATTGTAAACGTTATCTATGAACTTTAAACTGCTAGTGCATGCCCTTTTTGCACACTATGGTAATGAGAATTACAACCAATGCATGCAAATCTTACATGAGATTACACATGGATTTTCTATGAGGTTTGGCACAAAGAATGAAGGAGACAGATAGAGAAGGGGTGAGGGAGAGAAAGGATTATATCATGTATTATTATTATATTACATGTATGTATCATCAGTTATACAGCATTATATATAAATAAATATGCATTAATTTCCAGTCAAAATGGCCATTAAGTAGTTACTCATTTCTCAGCATCAGGACAAAACATACATTTAACAAAAAATCAATAATATAATAACTAACTATACATACATACATAAACTTTGCCTTTATTACAGCTTCCATTCTTTTCATAAAGTATGCTTTTAGCTTTTCAAAGAAATCTGCAGGGATATCTTTCCACACCTCCACCTAAGTTCAGCCTTAAAAGTTTTTGTATTTTCTGCTTCTCTCGACCCAAGTATTCCCATACGCACCCAATGATGTTCAGGTCCGGGTTGGTCAGTCCATTGTTCTGAGAACACCAGCAGCTTCTTTGTTTGATTGTTTGATTTCTCAACCAGAGCACTGAGTTGTCTTCTCACAGTGGAAGGATGGACAGAAACACTTGGAATGTTTCAGATCTGAACCACGAGTGGAGCTTAACATTTTACCACCTCTCAAAGATGAAAGCTTTGAGTACTATTTATCTGATAGTGATAGTTTGGTGGTCTGCCAGGTCTTGCGCAGTTGTGGAGTCACATTTTGTTTAGATTTTTAATACCTTTTTGAACTCCACATTTGGAAACTCTTTATTTTCCTTCAACTTTCCTTATGCAAGCAGATTATCTTCTATCTAATGTCCTGAAAAATGAGTGAGCTGTATTTAATGTTGTTTTGACTGGAAATTGAATGAATGAAGGGTGGCAAATTAAAGGAAAAACTAACATAAATGGAATAGCATCTTAGTAAGCAGAACTAAACTGAACTAAGAGAGAGAGAGAGAGAGAGAGAGAGACTCACCTTCACACACTCCATTCCTCAGCTGGTAGCCACTTGGACAAGAAATCTGCCTCTCACACACGAATGCCCCCACCGTGTTCACACAGCGCTCGTCCGGCAGGCAGGTGTGTGTGTTCGTCACACACTCGTTGAAATCTGGAGAGGCAGAGGGAAGCACGCGTGACAGAAATTACTCAGCGTTACTGTAGTTCCAAAACATCCAGCCTCAGAAACACGCTGAGACTGAGCCAGACACACAGCTGGAAAAGATATGGCAAAGGCCCCGGCCTGCAAAAGCTCTGTTTGGCAGCTCAGCCTGCAACATCATCATAATCATGACAAAGCACATGGAGCCGCAAGCAGATGGAGCAAACACACACCACACACCACACATGGAAAGTAACAAATTACAGCTACACTCGTTACAATGCTTGAGTACATTTTTCTCTGTTTCCACTACAGGCAGAGGAGACAACCCAGTTTTTATTACCCCTTTGTGGGGGAAATTGTGTAAACTAAAGAAGAAAAGAGATTGTTGGCCCAACAGTTGTTTAACTGTATCTAAAAGTTAGCTACACAACATAGACAGTTGCTATAAATGTATGTACAAATGCATTAAATAGCATAGCATTATTTAGTTTTACTAACCATTACTAACCAACCTAGTTGACCAGCATGAGCAGCTTGACAAAGCTAGCTGTCTGGCATGACCAGCTTAGTCAGTTGAATAGTGTAGGGTATGTTTTCATCTAATCCAACTAGAAGTCCAGCTGATCAATCGCCTTAACCAATCCCGACCACCAAGACCAAAAGCAGCGTACACCATCACAAATTAGCTGTCAACAAAAGCCTTAGCTGTGTTTTAGCATTTTTTTATTTAAGGTAGACTAAGTTTAGGCAGCTGAAAGCTTATTTATTAATACTTGCTTTATTTTCTTCATTATTATAGAAATTATTATATGTGTTCAAAGGCATTGCCATTACCATATTTCCGCATTATATTATTGCAAAGACAGAGAAATGTATATAGAAACTTTAATGCACTGGTCGGCCCTAGAGGGTCAAACCTGTGCTACTGTTTGCTAGCTACCAAAGCTAGCACAAGATAGCATACTTGCTGAGAAAAACAGCTTGGCAAGCTGTTGAGTTTCATGGTTTAGCTGGTCTACCATCATGACCAAGTAAGTCAACCAGAATGACCAAGGCTGGTCGGCCAGCGTGACAAGCTTGATTTTAATTGGATTAAGAATTTTTTATTATTATCAGAAATCTGGGGGGCCTGGCTTTTGGGTGAGGAAGCCTAGGCCCTCCCAGGCCACCATCCCAACAGGCAGAGACCTTCCAACAGCTCAGGCTTGTAAAGCGAAACGCTCTGGCAGCTGGGTGGTGCAATCTTTCTCCTTAGCGTGGCGGATATATGCTTCAGTATATAGGTTTAGTTTATGTTTCTGCCATTCCTGCATGGGCCAGGTTCATCAGCTGTGAAGGGGGATTTATTAAGGACAATAACTCTGGACAAGGCTGCGAATAAATGATTCAAAACAAGGCTGGGAAAAGGAGTATGGGAAAGAGAGGAGAGAGAGGAGAAGGTAATTATTTCTAGCTTGGACAATGACTGCTTGGTAAGCCAAGAAGAGGATTCACGATGTCATACTATTGCCAGGGAAAATAATTTTGGTGTGTGTGCAGCTATGTGTGTGCGTATGGACTGTTTGTGCTGTCTCTTAGCTTTGAGTGCTGGAGGGAAAGAGCATGAGGTGCCTTATCAGCGCACCACAACAACGGGTAAACACCGGCGCGAGAAAAACATCGATTTACAACATCAGGTTTTATCTGGCAGTGTTGAGTCACAGTGGAAAGTGACAGTGTTGTGGTGGAGCTCAAATCTCCTGCTATGGGGTCACGGTCACTGCAGGGGTTACACAGCCTGCTGTATGTGTGTGTGTGTGTATGTGTGTGATTTGTGAGGGTTTGAGTGTCCATGGCTGATGTCCAATGTTAAAGTTCATCCTGAATGTGGCGCTGTCCGGTGAGACGTGGCTAAAACACAGGCACCATTCTACTGCTCATTAGAGAGTAACCGTGGGGGGAAAATGGGCAGAACTGCGGCAAATGTCTTTGTATTCTGCTCAGGACTCCATAACTGTTATTTTGCCACAACCTTGTGGCAAAAAGTACTCTTCATCAACTACACAAGATATATTTCATCTGTGCATACCCTGTACTGTAAATCAGGAAAGTGCTCTTGAAGCTAAACTGAAATGCAAGCTAATATTGATTACTGTTAGCTTACCTTACTCTGATAGCAGTGCAGTCTGCTGAAGCTTAGCTGTTATCAAATTATGTTAGCTACCTAGCATGCAAACTGCTAGGACAGTGGTCTGCATGATGTTTTACCACAGGCACAATCCCAACCTCGTCCTCATCTAGCATACAAAATGTTTTTTATCATTAGTTCCTATTGACTTTAATAGCCTAAAACCTAGTGATTATATCTAACATCACATTTTGATTGTTGACTTGACTGTTAGCCAGGCATTTTCCAGGATAATTGTTGAGCACTTCATTTTTATGTTTTTATGTTACAAATGTTTATTAGCCTACATCGTTAACATCTTCTGTCTGATACTGAGATAAAAGTTATAGTGCAAAAATAAAAAGTGTGCCTTTGTTGCTGGCCAAATGTCTGAACCTGCTTATGCTTGTTACTAACAACAATTTGGTGTCAACAAACAACAAAAAGCAACTGTTTTCTATATAATGCTAAAGCTCAAGGCTCTAAAAGACACTTTAATAAAGGGGCATATTACCTTATCATGGTAAATCAAGTTTCCATAATTTGTTTGTATTAACAATTAGCTTGCATTATCATACTTGTATCATATTAACTTGTATCATATTAGCTTAATGTTAGTTTAGATAAAAATGTCATTTAAAGGCCCCTTAGCCTAATTTTTTCTTGTATTTCTCTTTTTCCGGAGTTCTACTAATAATATTTGTGTGGTTTATGTACCAAAAACAGTCGTAGTTCTTTTTTTACATGCCCATTTTCCTATGGGTTTATCCCATAGAACTTTTTTGTTATTCTGGCTTTAAAACTGATATATGTAAATGATCTCTGTTCTGATTGGTTAGCCTATACTGAACCTCATTTAAAAAGCAGCCCAGACTGCAACACGTCTTATTCAGCATGAACTAGGTGGATTTATGGAAATGTGGTGGTTTTTGTGACATCACAAAAACAATAAATTCAAAACAGCCTGTTCTAGCAGCTTGTTTTTTTATACATGGACTGTATGGAAAATTAATTAAAGAAAATGAGGAACTTTTCCATGATATAGGCTCTCACTCAGATAATTTTTATCCTCTCTGAGGCTTGCTTTGGGACACGGGAGCACAGAAAGCCAAAATGAAGTACGACATGTATGCTGTAGAGTCTTCCGTAAGTGAGCAGATGTTTGACAAAGAAGTTTGCTGAGGGATACAAAATGTGAGTGAAGGAGACTGAGTTGCTAGCATTCAGTCTCCTTTTTACCTTGTTCAAAGTAGAAAGTAAGATTTTCCCCCTGTGAATGGTTATTCACTATGTTTGAAGACCAACTGCTCCTTGTGTTTCAGGGAGTGAAGGAAAGTTCACATCACACAGCTCTCTGTCTCATGGACTTTGATGGACACGCTTGTTTTTTGTTTTTTTGTTTTTTAGGGACCTGTTTGCTGGGCTTTGGGGATGTGTTATTTCCAGTGAGTTATAAAAGTGGAAGCACGGACTCTCACTCTCTCACTAGCCAGGTTCCTATCCACATATTTTAAGTGGCTTTTGACAAATCCAAAGAAACAGACTTGTTTAAAATGAAAAGTACTGAATAAAATCTCAGAAATACACATTAAAGTTTGTGCTCTTGCTTGGAGTGGATAAACTTTTTGCAAAAAGAAATGCAATAAATTACAATGGAAACACATTTGTCGAATAAATAATGTAAATGTGAATAAATAAAGTCACATGACTAATGAAGTGTTTATATTTTTGTCTGATAGTAGCTACCAGAGATTGAGACTCAAGTCAGTGACTGTCCTAGCAGTCTGCATGTTGATTTTACTCGCAACTCAACTCAACTTGTGCCTAACTGACTCACAGTTCAACTCGGACTTGTTTAACTGACTCGTGACTCGACTTAGACTTGTGCTTAACTGACTTGTGACTCGACCCAGAATTGTACTTAACTGACTCACAACTCAACTCAGACTCGCACATAACTGACATGCAACTTAACTCAAGACTAGCACTTAACTGACTTGCAATTTGACTCAAACACTTGACTCAGACTCCCACCTAACTGACTCGCAACTTCACTCGGACTTGCGCTTAACTGACTTGCAACTCAAAACCGATTCTTGCTTAACTTACTCGCAATTTGACTTTGACTCATGCTTATCTGACTCACGCTTAACTGACACGTGACCTGAGTGTAGTGAATAATAAGTGAGTACTTCACCAGCATTCCAGTCCAACTCAACCTTTTGGAAAAGGAAAGGTGCCAAAATGTGAGTATTATCCCCGAGCAGCAGAAAATTGTAATTCACTCTGGACCTGGAGCTAGTTAAAGGCTCTCCTAAGTCATCGCAACTACAGTCTGGAGGCAGAAATTAAGAAAGGTAAACAGCAGTCATTACTGTAATGCCCTTCAAAGGACAGACCAAAGCACTACATACAATTATTGCAGTCTTTCAAGTAAAACAATAAAACAACCTAATTTAGCTAATCCAGCTAAAGCTTTAATAAGTTACAGATCATATTCTTATAAAACCTAATAAAACTTCCAGCATCATGCCCGATTGCTCTCTGACATGAGGTGCCTTCCATATTATGCACAGCGTTGTTCTCATATTTTTTTTTCTTTTGCAATATTTCAGTTTTTCTCTTGAATATAATCCGACAGCTGAAACCTGGGTACTGTCTTAGTCTCTCTCTCTCTTTTTTTCAAAATGCCCTTGCATTTCATATCCTCTTATTTGTCTGAACAACAGCCATGGTAAAGTCTTACACCACAGCTTCAACCAGTAAAATTAACCACCTTTCATAGCAACTGTTGCAAAGTTAAAGACGTTTTATACGTTTCGTAGTGTGAAGCCTGACAGTGTGGAGAAATATGTGAAGCAGTTCTATGCAGTTCGAGCTTCATTAATGCATAAAATCACTGAGAAAACAGTGTTTCTATATTTTGATTAATCAAGACATTCACATCTTCCTATGTAAAGCACTGTGGTTGAAAATAATTCAGGTTAACAGTTCACTGCACCAAGCCCATCTAACCAAGCTTTAACGATACATGCTGTGATCTTAGCTTTAAATCAGTCCTCATGAAGTCAAAACGATCTAATTCCAAACTGCTATTATGTGATATTTTTCCAATATGACAATGATATACAATATACTAAAATCCTTGAATACATAATAATTTACGTATACAGAGATACAATTCCAAAACAGTGAGACAGCACTCAAAAATTCATTCAAAATTTGATGCCTGCAACATGTTCCAAACAAATTGTGACAGGGGCATAGGGGCATATTTACCTCTGTGTTACATCACCTTTCCTTTTACCAACATTCAGTTATTGTTTGAGAATGTGGACACCAATTGTTATAGATGTAAATGTGCAATTTTTTTCCCATTCTTGCTTGATGTAACACTTGGGCTGCTCAGCAGTCAACACTGCACTTCATAATGCATTACATGTTTTTAATGTGAGACAGGTCTGGAATGCAGGCAGGCCGGTCAAGCACTTGCACTCTCTTACTACAAAGTTGTAACATATGTAGAATTTGGTTTGGCCTTGTCTTGCTGAAACAAGCAGGGACGTACCTGAAAAAGATGTTGTCTAGACGGCAGCATATGTTGGTCCAAAATGAGTATGCACCCCTCAGCATTAATAGTGCCTTCACAGATGTGCAAGCCACCTTGTCACTGTCACTAAAACACTACCCATACCAAGACAGACAGTGGCCTTTGAAATTTGGCCTTTGTTGTGTTGGCAAGAATCATGTTTTTTTCCTCTTTGCCCCAGAGCACACAATGCCCATTATTTCCAAAAATAATTTATAATGTGGACTCGTCAGACCACAGCATGTTTCTACTTTGTGTCAATCTCAGATGAGCTTACTCTCAGAGAAGTTGGCGGTGTTTCTAGAATGTCGTTAATATAGGGCTGCAGCTTTTCATAGTAGGTTCGTAGCTTGCAATTGCAGATGCAGCAATGAACTCTGTATGCTGACAAGGGTTTTCTGAAGTGTTCCCAACCCCATGTGGTTATATTCTTTACAGAAGCAGTGTTTTGAATGTACTACTAAGAATTAAAGGTCACAGGCATTCAGGACTGGTTTTTAGCCTTGCCCTTTATGCATGAGATATCTGGTGCCTCTGAATCTTTTAATGATGTTCAAGACACGGATGGCGCAGTGGGGCATTGAGAAATGTGGTTCATAACCCCCTAAAATCTCAGGCTTATTACATATTAAGGCTTATTATTCTATAACTGCAGGGACTTCAGTGCAAACTGGTTGAGCTGTTCTTAGGATATAAAAGTGTGTAAAAAAAACTCTGGGCCCACCAGTTACACTGTTGGACTATTGTCTCACACAGTTTTTGATCATTCTACAAGCTTCCTAATCTTACACTTTTTTGGAGTGTGTTGCAGATATCAAATTTGGAAATTAGCGAATATATATATATATGTATATATATATATATATATATATATATATATATATATATATATATATATATATGGATACACACACACGCACACACCATACATACACACACACACACACACACATATATATATATATATATATATATATATATATATATATATATAGATAGATAGATAGATACACTTTTGTGATATCAGTATTATAAAGGTTAATATCATGATAACAGTTGACAACGATATATTGTGCAGCCCTGGTCAATGTTTATTAATTCACATTCATTGTCAAGAGTCCCACCACCTTTCAAATTCCAATTTAACCCCTGGTCACCACACAAACTACATTACACCTCTGTGACTCATTTTAGCATGACACCCTCCTTTCAAAATGCACCACTCTGAAATGCATTGGAGGCCATGCGTGTTATGAATAATGCATTGGCATGGCCAGGCAAGCGCTTTAGAGAGCCTGTTAGAGGTGGGCATGAGGCTGCATGACTGAAGAGCAAGTGGTGAGGATTACAGGCCGTGAGTGTTATTTTCTCCATCAAACACAACATGGACTGAAAGGAAAACAGCCCTAGCAGTGTGGTGAATAAGCAAATTTGGCTATTCAACTGAGTAGCTACCTCTGGCTTGCCAGTCAGATTTATAATAGTCTGTCAAGTATTAGCCCTTAGAAGTGTAGAGTTATTACTGCTATTTTGCTATACCATGTAAATGTGATTATGTAAACAGATAATTAATACAGTTACATAATGAATTACATATACATATACAATAGAATGTAAAGACATTCTAGTGACATTCTGTTATATTTACATTATGAATGACATTTATATATCAACAGGAATGTTTTCAAAAATGGACAAAAGCTAACTATTAATCAAATTCATCAATAAGTTGAATGAAAAACAGTTAATTTCAATTTATTTGCTGGGTTTAACATATTGGAAAAAAATAAAACATTTTTAAAAAAGTGTCTTAACTTTTGCACAGACCATATGTTTTTTTCTAATATGTTAAATTAAAAAATAAAACAGTAACTGTTCATTAAATCAAATTCATTAAATTGTTCATGTGCAGAAGTGTGTTCTCTGTAGAAGATGCATTAATTTATTTTGCCTTAGAAAATCAATTTCAAAAATCATTTGACCAGGGGTGACCAAACTTTTACATTTGACTGTTAATGGTATTGGTTGAAAGTCTAGAATCTGCATTTTCAACATAATTTTGCTTCTTGGTTCAGTGAGCCACAAGAGAGAAATAATTAACATTAAATTAAAAAAACTGAAATACAATAAAAATGCTTGTGTAATTGCAGGCGATAACTGTGACTTCTAAGGGTAATCACTTTTATTAAATCATACATAATTCTGCATGTTAACTAGCAGAAAGAAATGACGATTGCTGTGAGCAAATCACACAGAAGCTTCTCTATGCAGGCTCTTTGCAGATGTGTCTGCTGTTTGGTTTAAGACCAGTCCAGGACTACCTCAGGCATGGAATTGATTTTTAATAGCCTGTAACATTTATGTGCATGCCCCAATGCCTCGTGTTTCTGCTATGATGAAGGTAATGCAAAACAAATCCGCTCAGGCCTCAGAGCTTTTGATGAGAATTCTGAGCGAATCTGATCCTTATAATGCGACCACATGCATGAGAGATTTAAGAAAAAGCATACCAGTGGGCTTTTTGCATTTCCTCACTGTGAGTGTGTTTGTTTTTGTACATTTTCAGGACAAGGATACTCTGACTTTGTAAGAAAATTAAACATGCACTGACAGCATATACACATTTGATGTATAATGAACTTACCGTTATTACATATTGGTACTTACATACAGTACTGTGCAAAAGTCAGAGACCACCCTTTGTTTAACTGATTTCCAGTCCAGTCTAGACTCTGAGGTGGTCAGTCCACAGCTACTTTATTTGATTTGAAAATGTTCTTCTTTTTTGCCTATTTAAGTTTTCTCAATTACGGCTTCGTGGCAGCTACATATCCGTTTAGACCCATAGCAGTTGTCTTTAAGTTGTCTTTTCACAGTAGAAGGATGGACAGCTCTGGAAACTCCTATTTTCTTTCCCTTTTTGTCTTTGACTTTCTGCTTTCTTATGTAAGTGGATTATCTTATGTATAATCTCCTCAGAAATATCTATTTTACCTGGAAATTAAATAAAACGAGTGTTCATTGAGTTTAGCACAGTACTGTATATACCAAACTTATAAAATATATTTTTATTACATATACATATTTACATATGAGACATACGTATGATCCCACATCCTGACAGTGTATGAAAACAAATAGTTTTGTGTGTCGGGCATTATTTCTGGCAAACCAGAGAGTAGCTCCATAGAGATGCAGTGTAGCAATGGTAGCTAAAAGCCTTCTTACCCACACACTCTCTATTATAGTTGTGAATAAAGCCCACGTCGCACCTTTCATTCAGAGACACACACTGGTACGAACCCCCTGTGTTCACACATACCTCCTCCAGCGAGCAAGTGTGTGTGGCCTTCCTGCACTCATCCACATCTATGATATACATAGATGGACGTAGGAACACACACACACATGTACATCAAAACACATACATTAAAACAACACAAGAATCTGGCCACTAGTGAGACCATTAGAGGTGAGTCTGAGTCAGACCCTAAATAGTGCATACAATCTGAATTTTACAGTGCATACAATCTGATTTATTGAAAAGTATTCTACCCATGTCGTTATATATGATCATGTTTTTTGCATGATCCCTGTACCATTCCACACACCGCCGACTACGGTCGGGTGCAAGTAGTCTCACGGAACCGAGAATATATGTCTGGGGACAACCTGTTATACATTTGATGCTGGATTGCAACTAAATCTGCTGCAAACAAGGGTATGCGCCTCAAGGGAAAACTCAGGTGAAAACAGTTCCTGTCCATAATGAAGAAGTAAGTTTATTTTTTAAATGCAAAGTTGGACCCACTTCTTTAACTTCTATCACCTGCCCTCTGATATCTACTAAAGCTCATGGGGCTAATGACAGGCTAGTTGGCAGTCAGACAGTGTTGACCATTGGCCCCTACTTTGAGCTCTGCCATCACAAAGCATTGGATTAGTTTAGAAATTTCCGTCTCAGTTTGTTCCCACTCTAATAAGTCCATGTTCCCACCCATGGTTGGCCCAAAATTCCTCATGGTTATCCCCAGTTATGTATTCTCAGTACCAGACACATCTGGCTCCACAAGACTGGGGTGCATGTAGCACTGGCCACACTGTACACCTATTTGCACCATAAAAGAAAAAAAAGAACTGAATGAACAAATGGTGAACTTTGTGTCTGCACTAAAACTGACTAAGCCATTATTACCAAATATCCTTAGCTAGCTAACTCTGCTAATGTCTGAAACTATGTTCAGAGGTCTGTGGCAATATGTAGGCATTTGTATTTGTCTGGTGAACTGAGCTGTGAAACCTGGGTTCAAGCTATAGCTTACTGCAAGCTAACTGTCTTTACAGTAGTTGTTCTTGCAAACTTATCTAGCTACAAGGTTTGAGCTACCATTAGCGAACTACCTCAATAACTATGCTATGTCTTTCCAGTGATGGTTCTGGTGAACTGAGCTTGTGTAAAGCTTATGTTCAAGCTAGTTTTGGCTAAGCACTAGCTAATTTAGTTATAAACTTGCTACTTATGTCTTTTCAGGTTCTTTGTGGTTCTGGCCAACTGAAATAATCAGCAAGCTACACATTTAAGATAAGCTCATTTACAAATCAGGCTAATGATTGAGAACGAGTGCTAATTCACAATTGCTAGCTGTAGTAAGACTAACATTACAGTAGCACAGTAGCTTCACAAAATAATACTACCCTTGTCTGGTCTGTACTTTGAAAGAAAGTGTTTATTGTTGTCAGTTGATGTTGGTTGGCTCAAAGAAAAAAAAAGGAACTGAAACCAAGGCTGGGTTAAAGTGAGCTCTGTTTTTTTCTTTTCAGCGCTGCTGATTTGTAATCAACCATTTCTTGCTGGTTTGCGTGAGTGTTGTGGCACGACAGTTCCTTTTGTTTTGCAGCCACATGTTCTGTAAATTCACAAGCCAAAATTCTGTTAAAAAAATATTATATATATAATTATTATGATTTACTGTTGGTCATGTCTTTGGGCCCCCCTCAAGGGCAGGGCCTGGGGCACCCCCACCCATGTGAGTCATGTTCTATGTTTTCTGTGCTTAATTTTTTTTCCTCAGGTCCACTTATAGTGTCTGTGGAGTTTTATGTTCCAAAATCAGTCATAATTCATTTTACATGCCAATTATGCAACCTTTATTCCTTAAAATAAAACGGGCCGTTTCTAAGCCTTTAAGACTGATTAATGTAAATTAACTCTGTTCTGATATATGTACATGCATTAGTTTTTGTGACATCACAAAGGCAAGGAATTCAAAATGGTCATTTTTTTCAGCTTAGTTTCCATATAAGGTCTGCATTGACTGAAGATTAAATGGTACGTTTTGAGACTTTAACAATGTTAACATAGTACATCAAACTTTATTTCAACAAAGCAAGGAAAATTTGATTCACCATGATAGGAGCCTTTTAATTCCAGTTTGTGGCTCAACACCCCTGTAATGTTCTTTCGTAGGTCAGAGGATAAACTCACATTACGACATAATTAAGCTTAAATGAGAAGGAGTTGGATTTAGTCAACCAAACAAACTGTTTCCTTGTAGTTGGACTGTATGTATCTCTAATTTTGTGTATCTATTACATATAATGTTTACCATGTAAATATAATTTTTAAGAAAGAACAGATGCTTGATATGGGAAGATTACAATAGACCATGCTGTGGACCCATGTAGATCGTCCAGTGCAGCTCTAATGCACCAAGTTTTTGAAATTTATACCATGAACTGAATGTAACCTTACATCAGCACATTACAGAAAAAAAACATTCTCATTTCCTGTCTCTTCTAGTGTATGGCTGAAGTACTTGGCTTTTCATCCAGGCTTCATCTAAATGTGCTGTTTGTTTTGGTCCAGAACAAATCAAGCTCTTGGCCCACCCACATGTTAACATATGGGAACACTTCAGAAACAGAGAGAGAGAAAGAAACAAAAGAGAGAGAGAGAGAGAGAGAGAGAGAGAGAGAGAAATGGCCTCATCAAATATACTTGATAGTTAAATGAACAGAGCTTTTTGAGCCGACTCAAACAAGAAACAGTGCCTGTGAAAAGTTTGGAGACATCTAGCTTTTCACAATGTTTCTAATACAAATGAGTATGCAGTGTGCAAAATACCCCCTGGTATTTGGGGGGTCCCAGATTAGCTTGCTACGCCAGTGCTGGCTGGCTGCTGACTCACTCACCCTAGCAGCACTGATGCTAGCTTCAGTGGCAACAAAATATTTGGTTCAACAATTCTTCTTCTGGAAATGTTATTTTCTATTTTAGTAATGCAGCCTTCCACACATTAACTGAGATCTCACACATCTCTTGTCTTTTGTTTGAGAAATGAGTTCAGTGACAAATGAATTTACTCTTTTCACCAGTCTCTTGGGAAACTGGACAAGTTTTCAGATTTACAAATCTGAAGGGCAAAGTTTTTTAGAGGTTGCTAGGCTATGAAGGACCAACTGGGTGAACCAATCTGCTATAGCGCCAGGAAGGAAGACCACCACCAACCCGAGGAAGACCCGTGCTGCATCTTTAGTCAGTTAAGAATGCTACAGACAGAAGCTCACCAACTGTGGGTGAAGGGTGAAGCAGCTAAACAATTTCCCTGAATTTGTATTTAAGCCTCTATTTTACCCTAACGGACAGCATAACGTCATAATAAGCGCCATTTGTGCCGCCGAGGGCCCGACTTCCTTTTCATCTGATAGGACAGCACAGAACAAAAAGTGCATCACATGCTGTTTGTTGCAACACAGTGTGACTGTGAAATTTAATGACTATAGAAAATAACTGCAATTAGCTTCAATAATCATCTCAAATAACTGTGAGTAATTAAATCATTGTGATAGGGCTACTCTTCATACCAAGGAAGACATTTTGATGAACATAAAGTTGAGTGCTGAAGATAAATATACCCATATTTTCAAATTATAACAATACAATATTAGCAAATTGCTTGTTCATAGTGATAAAAAGTAAGTATTTGTCTTTCTTGAAGCTTTTTTTTTGTTTGTTTTGTTTTTTTTTTTTTTTTTTTTTGGTTTACTTGACCATCAAGATCACTTACAGTCATATGCAAAAGTTTGAAAACCCCTGGTCAAATGACCAATAGTTTGTCACATCCTCTACATCCAAACATTTCTCTTCAACCTTCAGTGCTGCAGTTTCTACAATTTGCTGAGTTTAACATATTGGAAAAGTAAAACACAGAATATGTGTAATATCATTTTTTAAATAACATGTTAAATTTAACAAATAAACAGTAATTGTGCATTAAAATGTACAGAAGTGTGTTCACTGTAAAGGATTTGTTAACTTATTTATTTTCACTTAGAAAATTAACAAAACATTTTTGCACATGACTGCACAATATATGTGCTGTTATAAACAACTATGCACTAAATATGAACTAAAAACAGTCATAGTTTTACATGACACTTTTCCACACTCCCTTCGTCCCATAAAATTGAACAGGTTATTTTTGCTCCTGTTCCTTTAAGACTGTATGTAAATGTTCTCATCGGCTGCCCAGTTCTGTGATATTGTGACATCACATTCACAATTAATTCAAAATGGGCTGTTTTTGCAGCTTAGTTTCCATGTAAGGACCATATAGGGTGGAGAGTAAATGGCACAATTTTAACCTGTATCATGTTCACAGCTTTTATTTCAAATATGAAGGCCCCTACAGTTGAAAGGTAATGTTTATAATTCAGTGTCTTACCTAATTACAAAAGGAAGAACGTTGAAAAGCAGATGCTACAAGATGTCCCCAAACTTTTAGTGTACACTAAACTCTGTCTGTATCTGTCCTTATTCGTTTATATTTCACCTTGAAGCTATTTGTGTTTCATCCAAACGAACAGCCTGCTGTGTTTAAAGCTTATTTATCTGACTGTGTAGCTGGAGCTATTTGAACACGCCTACGCTGCACTGAGGGGTCTGATTCTACACACTTCACTTAGCATTTATGAATGAGAGTCAAGTTGCACCGTAATAAACCCCTTTATTAAAATGTACATTATAGCACAGCGTGAGCCCTGAACAAAGAGCTAAGTGTATGGCTGCTACAGTCATTAGAGTGGTATGAATCTGAGCTGCTGTACTACCAGCAGGAAAAATACTATAAGGTTAGATCCATTTACAGTTCACACCGACAGCAGGTAGCAAATTTATAAGCACCTTCCTTGCATAATAAAGACTCCCTGGCAGGCTAAAGACTTCACTCTTAGAAGTCTAGAATTAGTACTCTCATGTTGCTATACCAATGAAATATAACTGAGTAATAATGTAATTAATTACAGTTATGGCATTAATTGCACAGTTATAAAATGATTTATGTTCACATTCAGTTAACACTATGTTCATATTTTAATCATTACATCATTTGTTCGATTATCCTTCTTACATTCTTTGTTTGCTTTCATGCAAAAGTTTAAACACCCTGGTTAAATTACATGTTTTCTTGATTTTCTAAGTGAAAAAATGTTAACACATCCTCTACTGTAGACAAATGTAATTATTGTAATGGAATTACATTATTATTGTAAAGTTGTCATAATGTTTATATATGCATAATGTCTATATATGCATACTGTTTAACTGAAGATCAAATGCAGATATGTCCAAATAAGTCAAACAAGTGGGGTGTACTTACTTCTTCACTTGACTGTATAAAGATTTAGAGGATTTTCTTTTTTTTTTCCAAATGAAGACATTTAACAAGGACAAGGTGACTGTGGGAGGAGTTTAGGTTATTGTTTTATTGCTGGACTCAGTGCTGAAGTCGAGACACTGGGTCAGCGAGACTGAAGCTAGCGTTTTTTTTTTCAGGTGAGACATGAAACATTTGTAATGAAACATCTGTGCACATTCTGCTTCTTTATGAGTGACTGTCTCTAGCTAGAATATAGCCTAGGAGACACTAATCCATAGACTAATAGGACACATTTGTCAGGGTTTAGGTGTTTACTGAGTGTGTGTGTGTGTGTGTGTGTGTGTGTGTCTTTAGAGGCTCAACTGTATGTACAGTACTATGCAGAAGTCAGAGATCACCCTTTATTTATTTAATTTTCAGCCAAAACAGCTATTAAGTACGCTATATTTATAATACAGCTATAAAGTTATTCATTTTTCAAGAGATATGTCTGAGGAGATTAGATAAAAGATCATTCACTTGCATGAAGAAGGGTGAAATCATTAAAAGACTTAGAAAAAATGTGACTCCTAACAACCATGCAAGACCTGGCAGAACACCAACACGGTCACAATCAGATAAACAGCACTTAAAGTCAAGCTCCTTGCTTCAAATGTGAAAAAAGGCAACTTAATGCTATGGGCCTGAAGGGATGTGTAGCTGCCAATAAGCTGTTACTGAGAAAATGACAAAAAATATATATATGCAAATTTGCAAGGAAGTCTGGATTACTTGGATCCTGAGAAGCAGAAAATGTAACCAACTTCTAACTTTGGAAAAAGGTCCTTACAGACTTCTTTGAAAAAATTGAAACCAGGTCTTCTGAAAAAAAGAAAGGCAAAGGGTGGACACCCAAAATACAGAAAAAGATAATGTTGTATTTAATTGTTGATGTTTCTGTGTAATTTTATGTTAAATATGTTTCTGCTTTTTTTTCCTGGTGCTGAAAAATGAATAACTTTTAATGGCTGTTTCCACTAAAAATTAAATAAATAAAGGTTGGCCTCTGACTTTTGCTCAGAACAGTAGCAGTAAGTGTGTACAGTATAGCACTCACAACGGTAAGGTCACCTGTTCAATTCCAATATAATACCAATATCTGATGAAATAAAAAAAAATGGACATTGTCATTATAAAACATTTTATCTCTGAAATGGTAACTTTATAACTGTCAATGTAATGTGTAATTTAATATGCACATTAATATAACAATCAAGTTTGGACCATTTTAGTTAAAAACAAAAATATATTTATATATATGTGTGAAAAAGGTCACTTTGGATAAAAGTGTCTGGTAAAATAAATAAATATGAGATAATAATAAAGATCAAGCAGATGCTTATACTAATATTGAAGAAAAAAAGTCAGCTGTAGTGTCAGTTTACCTTCACAGTTCTGTCCATCTGCTTTCAGGGAGAATCCTGGGAAGCAAGAGCACTGGGCCTTTCCTCTGACCACAGAGCACTGCTGAGAGCATGGACCGTTACCTACACACATATATACACACACACGCGTATATACATTTCAGTCTCCAATTTAAATATTTTAGCTAAATAACAACCAGAAAAAGAAAACCAGAAAAAAAGGAATCAATGACATAATGAGAGCAGATGCTTGATGTTTCATGAAACAGATACAGCAATTAACATCTTTCCATGCTTTATGGTATGGCATGTATAAAAAGACTGAGCAAGCCAAGTTGACCTTGGATCAAGATGGCAAGTAGACAACATCTATATGACTTTAAAATAGGGCTCATTACTGTGGAACGTATGGTGATCACAAAAACACTCAGCTGGCTAGTGTTTCAAAAGAAACAGTGCCTAAAGTGACATCTGTGTTTGCATCAGTGGGGAATACATCAGTAAATAGGGTTGGAAATTCTGGTCAAAAATACACATTGAATGATCGTGATGCTAGTGTGTTAGTGTGATATGTAAAAAACAATAGAACAGCAACTGGTCCTCAGGTAACTGAGAATGTCAGTGCTGGAGGTGATCAGACTGGTGTCTGCAAGTCTGTCCACAACTACACAGAAAGGAGTATTATAGTAGGGCTGCAGTGCATAAACCCCCACTACAAATCAATATAAAGTTATTTTGACTGATCACTTTTATCCTATGATGAAACATTTCTGTTCTGATGGGAGTGGTCTTTTACACGATGACAGGGCACAAGAGGTCACTGAATAGTTTGCTAAGTATAAAAAATGATGTAAATTATATGCTACAGCCCTCACAGTCACCACATCTCAACCCAATTGAACACCTATGGGAGATTTTGGACAAATGTGTTAGACAGAGCTCTACTACCATCATTAAAACACCAAGGGAGTATCTTTTGGAAGAATGATGTTCCATCCCTCCAGTGCAACTCCAGAGACTTGTAGAATTTATGGCAAGGCAAATTGAAGCTGCTTTAGTGTCTCATGGTGGCCCAGCACGTCATGTTGGTTTTTCCTTTGTCACCCATCTGTATGTTGTCTACAAAAGTGGACTACATATGGGCTACAAGTGGAAAATTGTAGATCTGCACAAAAACTGGACCCAGAAGCAGGATTTGACCAAACAAAAAGCTCATCATTAAAATTGGCAGTCAAGGCTTTTACATAGTCTTCAGTTCCAGACATAGCTTAGCATAGAGGAGGGTCTCGAGAGATGATGTGTTGGCCAGATGCATCCGGTTCAGTCAGAGAGAGAAAGAGAGAAGAGAGAGAGAGAGAGAGAGAGAGAGAGAGAGAGAGAAAGACAGAAAAAGAGAGAAACAGCTCGGCCACTGGAGACTCAACTCAGCCATAGACGTGACACACATACTTGGGCCTTTGAACAGCCACTATAATTCTACTGCTCTTTTAATCACATGTACATTGAACCTTGGTGCACCTGGGCTTGCCTAAAGGAAATTATAAGTCTTGTGGAGTGCGTGCTGATGACAGAGGAGTATATGCTGATTTGTCGCTTGACCTTATTCACTCTGCTGAATGTAGCTGAATCAAGGGAAAGTGTTTGGTACCTTATAGAGCAGGGGTATTCAACTAAATCTTGTGTAGGCCCAAATATAATTTCTTGCCTATAAAGGATTTTGTGGGTAGGTTAATTTGAAGTGTTTTGTTCTGCAGTGGTGCTTAATATTTCCTTTTTTGACCTGCCTCACAAACTCTGAACACATCGTTTTAAACACTTTTTTTTCATTGTGCCCTGCGATGGACTGGTGATCTGTCCAGGGTGTATCACTGTCTTCCACCCAAGACCGCTGGGATAGGCTCCAGCCCCCCCCACGACCCAGAAGGATAAGCCGCTTAGAAAATGTGTGTGTGTGTGTGTGTGTGTTTTCATTAGCCACGTTTACATGCAGCCTAATAATCCGATGATAATCCGACTAATAGCTCAATCGGAATAGAATACGTCCATGTAAACACCTCAATCGGAATAGTCTAGTCCGATTGAGGCCACTCGGAATACAATTTCTGTCCGATTGAACGAGGTGGGTAAACCTCTAAATAATCCGTTAAATAGAAGAATAATAGCCATGTAAACGCCTGAATCCGATTACATTCCAATCGGAACGTGTAAGTACGTTCTGCGCATGTGCGTAGCGTCATGGCGAAAGTTTATACCGTTCAGCATGGCGGAGCAGAAACTGGTCTGCAGAGGAGACGAAGTTTATGCTCTGAGCTTTACAAGACGGCGGTGGGACGGGGGCGTCCAGCTTATGAGTCTCAAAACACGACGTCTTCCTCTCACCGCTTCCTTTATAAGCACATGTGAAGCACGTTTTTCTGAGTCTGACGTCATTTTAAAGCAATTAAAAACACGAGCGCGCCAACTGGAACCTCATCTCACGCGGACTGGACCTCATGTGATGTTCGCTGTCATGGTAACGTTTACTCTAAACGCCACTCCACGCATGCGCGTCATTGTCATTGTCAGTGTGCATATAAACAACTCAGTCTGAATCTGTAATCGGATTATATTCAATCGGATTCGCAAAAATCTTTGCATGTAAACATAGCTACTGTCAGCTTTCCTCTTATTAATAAGCTATTCAGACAATAAACAGTAAATTGAATTAATATCTATCAAAATATGCGAAATTAATCATTTTCTCATTAGCCATGTAGGTAGTCTTTGCTCTGATGAGCTGCCTTCTGCTAAGTCAGAAACTCCGTTTCCAGAAAAGTTGGGATGCTGTGCAAAAATGTAAATAAAAATAGAGTGCAATGATATGCAAATCATGTAAACCCTATATTTAATTGAACACTGTGTCCTAGAGCACACAGTATAAAGTATTTAAAAAGTTTGTATGAGGCTAAAATTGAGTGTTATATTAAACATCCAGAAAAGTTTAAATGAAAAAAAGACAGAAATATAACAAAATGTGGCTTGAATCAGACATATCTAAAGACTGTCTGGGCGTGGTTCTAATATTCTGATGATGGTGTGTGATTGCCCACGGCTCCCAGCCTACTAAAAACATTATCAGGCTTTTGTATGGCAACGTTTTAAAAGAGGGTAAAGTTCTTATTCCGTTTACTCCTGGATGTATAATCTAGGGAACGCTGGTATGGCCATTTGACCAAATGAACAGATAAATGAATGCTCTCATGCTCACTCATGCTTGCTAAGCCAGCTTTTGTTTGTTGTTAGCTTTCTTTTGCTAATTTTCTCTGTGACAGAATATAGTTTTTTTGAAGATGTGTTGGCGGGACAACTCACATCAGCCTAAAGTATGCACTACCCAAGATTAATGGGCCTCATTCACCAATATCCTCTTAAGTTTTTTCTTAAACTTGTTTTGAGAAAGGTCCTAAGAAAAAGTCTATGTGAGACTCATGATATGTCCTTAAACTGCAGAAGTGGCTGCTTATTTGTGCTCTTGAGTGTGTGTAGGTCCTGTTCTTCCCTAAGAACAAATCCCAAATAAGAAAACAGAAAAATCAGCTTCTCTAGTTTAACATGATTTTTAAAGTTCTTCAAGTTTAAAGACGATGTGAAGTGAACATGGTACAGTCTACCATAGGCACCAACCATGGGTAGAAAATGGGTCATTGCCTACCACCTCAAAACTAAAGTTGGAAGGGCAATACCCCTCCAATCGTGCACAAAACAATCTGAAAATAGCCGCAATAGTGAAATTGCTTTTTACAGTTGGAAAACAGTAGGGATTTTAAGCTTGCAGGTACACTGTGGCTACCAGAAAAACTGCTATTTTCTTTCTGAATTGGGGTTCTTTCCCCAATTCAACCATAGCCCGGCATGCTGGTAAGGAAAAACGCTGGAACAGCATAAAAATTTGTTTTCATAAATAGTTTTGTGTTTTAAATTAAAAGGTTTAAATAGATTAAGCACATTTTTTGTACATGATCTGCTCATAATATTACAAGTGACAAAGCAGTGCAAAGTGATCACACTCTCTACCTTGCCGTCTCCTGATTTTTCTTGACTTTATATGCACTTTGTTGGTAAATTACTAATCAACATTAGTTGAAATTTACTTTGAAGTATTCTATTTGTTTATGGAGTTTTGATTTCCAGTTCTATGGCTATAGTTTTTCTAGTCGCTGTAGCTGTATCAATTGCTGTCAAAGCTTAAAGCCCCCTTCATAGCCAAGATGGAGAATATGGGAGATGCACCTGAACTAAAACGATGCTGTTCATTAGAGTTAAGGTGAACATTGCACAGACTGGTGAAAGCAGGCTACCTGCCAAAGCTGAACCTCAACTGACACATGCCAAGTTAAATGGGCTGTCCCTTCCCAATATGCAATGTAAGGAGAAGGGGATGCAGCGGAGAGCTCTATCTAACTTGCAACAAACTCAGCATTACATTAACAAATGATAACAAAAATAAAATAAGGTATTAATATTTTTAATATACTTACCCACACTGCTAACTGGTGGGATATAATCTGTCAATAGTTGCAAGCTCTTTTAGCTTTGTAGCAATACTAAGTTGACTACATTCAGATTTGAAGGATTTGAAATTTTGAGATTTAAGTAAATATGATTTTTCTAGGAACTATCACTTTAAAAGGGTTACATAAATGCTGCCTGCCAGTTTGACATGGGCTGTCCTCCTTTGGGGTGGATATGGAAATGGTTGCTTACACAGTGGTTTAAATTCTGAAACTCAGTGCCAATAAAGCGGTATGAGTGAGGGGGGTTAGTGGAAGATGCTGTCGTCTGACATGGCTTGTGGTCTGTGTTGGGACACCACAGAGATGCATGCATATAAAAGTCTGGGGTGCTCCCCTCATTACCTATAGAGGGGTTTAGGAGGCCTCAGGCTTTGGTTTGGAAGAGGAAAACCACCATTTTACTGTTATAATATACTCTCACCACTTTAACATACACTGACCGTCCACTTTATTAGAAGCAGCCCCCTCCAAAAACATCATTGGTCAGTTTCTGTCCACAGGACTGGTGTTGACCAGATATTATTTGGGTGGTGGAACAATTCAGCAAAGCAGTGAAACCCCACTGTTCAACAGTTTCATGCTAGGATGAGAGTGGTCAGCCATCCAAAAAATATCTAGCCAAGAGTGTCGAAATAAGGGCTACAGATGGCTAATACAAACCGTGCATTAACAGATGAGCTTTGGCCTTTAACTGAACACCAGCAAGGTGGAGCTACAAGGGAGGGGTTTCTAATGAAGTAGTCACTACGCATGTCTGTAACAGATGTGTTGAGGTGAGCATTGACAAGTAAGGTAATATTATCCAGGAGAATATTACAGGATAAAATAGAAAGCTAAAACATACAGTAAGAAAATTAAACACATCTTGTGCACAGCATTTTGGATAACAGAGGTATTAGATACAAGAATAAAGGCATAAAGTAAGTGTACATGTGCTGCCTGCTTAAAATTTGGAAACACCTTCAATGTTTATTTAAAAATTAATGTTTCTTCAACAAACTACTGTTTGAAATATCAAAACTCTTTCAGCCCCGAGGTAGTTTAAATACTTGAAAGGCTTGAGTCCGGATGAGTGGCATTATTCCCAAGCAAGCACTTTCACAGATATTGGCACAAATATGTATACATGCAGTATTGCTTTCCTATAAATATTTATGGCTAGTCTTTAATATGTTAAGTTTAATATATTAAGTCCTTTAAGGACCAGGGGACATCTGTAATACACATTTTTACATTTCACCACAGTGATACAAATCCAGTTCCAAAGAAGTTGAGACAGTTTGTGAAATGACAATAAAACAGAAATCAGTGATTAGTAAATTCTGCTTGACCTGTATTAAATTTAACATGGTACAAAAACACAATATTTGATGGTTTACCTTATGAACATCATTGTATTTTGTAAATAATATGCTCATTTCAAATTTGATGCCTGCAACACGTTCAGAAAAAAGCTGAGGGGGCTCCCGAGTGGTTCAACCGTCTAAGCGTTGGCCCTATCATCAGGAGATCGTGAGTTCGATCCCTGGTGATGCTACAGCCATCCGTAGCCAGGAGTCCAAGAGAGCACAATTGGCCTCGCTCGCTCTGGGTGGGTGGGATGGCTGCCTTTCTCCCCCCATCACTCACTAAGCACGATGCTAGTCAGCGCAGGTGTCTGTTAGCTGACGTAACAGATCTGGCGGTTGGCGCTTTCCTCCGAGCGCGTTCAGCTGTCCAAAGACATTGCGTGAGTGGCAGTTCGAAAAGATGCGGTGGCTGGTTTCACAGATCTCGGAGGAAGCCTGTGTTAGCCTTGCCCTCCTAGCGTTGATAGCGTTGTGTGTGATTGGGGGAGTCCTAACTAGCGGGTGGAATTGGCAAAGACTAAATTGGGGAGAAAACCGGGTAAAAAATTGAATTAAGAGCTGAGACAGAGCCATATTTTCCACTGTGTTACATCACCTTTCCTTTTAACTCCACTTAATAATCATTTTGGGATTGAAGACCACGGACTGATCCAGTTTTTAAAGTGTCATTTTTTGGCATTCTTTTGTTAACAAGTCTTCAACTGTGCAACCCTACAGTCTTTGTTGTGGTATTTTGAGCTTAGCAACACATGTTTTGGACTGCAGGCAGGCCAGTCTAGCAGCCATGGTGTTGCAACACCTGCAGAAATGTGGCTTTATGTTGTCATGTTGAAAACATCTGAAAGTTTGACTTGCCATGTATCAGTCCATTTCAGATGAGCTTCAGCCCAGAGAAGTTGGCAGCGTTTCTGGACGCTGCTGAGATATGGCTTCTGCTGTGTGTAATCTTGATGATATTATGCATTGTAGAGGGTGAAACACCAACTCAACCTGGCTGAGGATTTTTAAACTGTTGAATTTTTTGCTGATGCATTTTTGGCATAGTGGTGAGCTTCAACCCATCATTGCTCATAAAGGACTAGACCTTTCCTGGATGCTCCTTTTATATCCAAGCATAACTGTATAACCTGTTTAGGATGTTTTTGAACATTTCACAATGTTTCTAGCCTTGAAACAGCTCTGTTCCAATGTTTTTGGAACATGCTGCTATATTTCCAGAAAATAATGAAGTTGAATTGTAAAACATTACACATCTTGTCTTTTCCCTGTTTTTGTTCAAATGCAGGTCAAGGTAGATTTATAGATCATTCATCACACATCTTTGCATTTTACCTACTATCCCAACTTTTTTGGAAATACGTCTGTAAACCTCTTGCATCTAGACAGCAACACTATTTCAACAGGATGAGCAACTTTCAACTAGGTTGTATATTCTCTTCGAAGTTGGGTGTTTGTATCACACGCAATCAAATGATCATGCTCCAAATGTTACAAAAATTATCAGACCATTATTTAGTCTGTAATTTTCTCAGGGGTTGAAGGAGAAACACAACGATGCAGCCAGTACGGATGGAAATAAAATCGCAGAGCAGCACCTGTAAAAGTGGAAATGACCACAGGACTCCATGTATATTTAATCCCCTCTGAATAAAGCTAAAGCAAACATGTTTCATTTGTTCTACAAACATTTTAAAAAGCTCAGGGACCCCAAACTTTTGACAGGCAGTGTAGTTTATATGACATACCTGCACATGGGTTGTGTAAGGGGGTGATTTGTGGGGTGGTTTCTTGAGGTGGTGTGGCCAAAGTAAATGGGCTGTCCTCCTCCTTCACTCTGTTCTCTTCTTCTGGGTTCTCTGAGGGAAGAAAAAAATGAATGAGCGCAATATCATTACACAGTTGCGCTGTTTGTTATCATTTGGGGAATGACTCAACAATCTGGCGAAGACATAAACTCATGAGCTGTGCAGCCTGCCAGCATTTCATATCATTCATATGCGGAGTTACTGAACAACAGCTCTGACATTCACAAAAACATTTATCTGTTGTCGGAATTCCTGCCGTTTCAGAATGTTGGAAAAACGCCTGTATGTGTAATAAGCTCATTACAAGCATGAGATCATTAATTGTGGATTTTATTTCAGCCAGCACGGGACAATGCACTGTGGTACGCTAACACGTCACCATAGATACAAAAACAACACTGACGCATTATTACAATTCCATCATGCCTGGGACTAGATCCATTTTCATCTATATTGCTGGGGGAACAGTGTAAATAAAGACAAACTGGAGTCAGCGAATGAGGCGGAACAATCCGCCCTTATCAGCCAGAAGGCTCCTTATCATGTACTTGTTTAGCTGTTTGTGTGTTTCTTAATGAGGGAGAGGTCAACAGTTTAATCTACTGGCAAACAGTGAAGAAGCTAATCTGTGCGATTACATTGGGCATTGTAAAACATCGCACCTAAAATCAAACCAAAAACTCGTTCACTGCCTGAGAAGTAATGTGAATGAAAAACATTCCCAGTATGGAGTTCATGTAGCGGCCACAATCAATTACTGTTCCTGAAAACACTCGGCAAAGTCCATCTTATCAATGTGTGGGCACGTACATGAAACAGATTCCCTCAGGCATACAGAGAATTACGCGAGGTGAGCTGAACCCAAGGAATGTTCTATGGGTGACACTGATCCACCCAGGCAGGACATAAAACTGGAAAGGCAGTGCATTCTTCTCCCTCAATGCAAGGCAGTTATGGTGTATAATGCGTTGACTGTGCATGGCACTTGGACCATGAATACAAATGGCAGCTGTGCCGCCTGAATTGGGTGCTGAGGCAGCCTTCCTTTGGGCATGTGTATGAATGAGGGAGACCCTATTCTAACTCAAAGGAAGTGTCGCTGATACGCCATTTGAAAGGCGAAATGACAGAAACTGAGAATGAACTCCCAGTCACCTGTGGAGCCAGGCTGCTATCAGCTAGACACAGTGTGATTTAAGCAGGCAGTATAATTCAGACAAAAATGATGTTTCAAAGCAAATTGGTGCAGTTTGGATGATGCACTGTGTGCTGGTGTGGTGAGTGCAGTGGTCCACCCTAGATGCCCATGTTATGAGGTACAGTTTAGCTACTGCAGTGATAGCCTCTCATGTGATGACAGCTTATTTAGTACCTTATTTTAACCCTATAAATCCAACAAACCTGGTGCTGGACCAAACAAAGAAAGCTGCTCCTTTAAATATGCTGCCAGATGAACTATGTTACATGCACATGTCTGTTGACAAAAGTAATATCATTTAATCAAGTTCAGCATGTACACCCAAAGTTTTCTGTTTGCTACTTTGTTTCTATCACTCAGTGCTTTGGGACGTTGGGACAATGCTTTTTTTTGTCGAAGGTACTGTGTTTTTCTCCAAGTGAGCATGCAAGCTTATTAGCACTTATTATTGTTAAATAATAAGTGCTAATAAAGCCTGACATGTGACTTTTCTTTCTATTTCTTTTCATTTGTTTTCTTGCTCAAAAAGGTGGTTTGTGACACAAGCTAAATAAAAATCTCCAAATGTTTGGCTTTGACAGATCACATTCTTCAAACATCAGTGTGCTACACTAGACATCATGTGATATACAGAGAAGAGCAGATTAAACAGCAGAAATAGACACTTTTTTACAACAGCTTTAAAGGGTTAGTTATTACCTTATTTCATAGAGTGATCATGGAGTGATAACAGTAAACTAACAAGCTAGCTAGCTGTTTAGCCTGTTGTGTTTAGCTAACATACTCCCATGAACGCATCATTGTAACACTGGGTTCCTCACTTAATGACAGAGACAAAAGTCATAAGCTACATGGACTAGCTTAGTGGGAATAATTGTAGGGGCAGACCAGTGGGTCTAGTAGTGCAGAGTGCCAGAAGGACATACGCCAAGTATACTTAGGACAGAGTGTTCAGCAGTAGTCAGATTTTGTTTAGCTTTTTGTTGTGTGATGTATGCTGCCAGCTACGACATAAAATCTGAGAGAAACTAAAACTATAAAAGGAACAGTTTGGCAGAAAAATCAAACTTCGGTCACCAAAAACGTCTTGGCTGATTTAGCATGTGCCTTCCATTCCAATGGCCTTGTGTGGTTTCCAGTGAAGAAGGCTAATTCTGAGCAAGGTTATCTGCAGATTCATACTGGCTATGCTCACATACCAAGTGTGCACGTGTGTCCGTCCTGCAGCAGCAAGTATCCTGGGTGGCAGGCACACCTGTATGAGCCCTGGGTGTTAATGCAAGTGTGATGGCAGAGTTGACCCTCATATCGCTGACATTCATCCACGTCCTCCAGTTTCTCCACAGAATTAGCTGCATGCTCAGAATCCTCAAAAGAGAAAGGCTGCTTAGGAAACTGTCTCTCAGCCACTGAAAGGAGGGAGAAAGAGAGAGAGAGAGAGAGAGAGAGAGAGAGAAAGTGAAAAAGAGTAAGATAAATCGTTAACTCTATATTAACAAAGAGTTATCAACAATCCATTTAGTAACTTTAGTAACTAGCCATTTATATCTAACTAATTGTAATCTGCCTCCAGAGCAGCTGGGCCACATGTATGTCCATGATGAAAATGGAAATGGTTATCAAATCACATTGTTAAAAAGTCAAAATAGATGCTTACCTGCTTTGGCTTTAAATGAATAAAAAGCCACCCAAACATATTCTCATTTGGGAGAATTTAAATAGGTTTAAATATTAACATTTGATCAATAACATCACTTAAACTAAGCTTAGTAATCACATAAGTGTATTGTCTCACACTGTAAAATATTACTAATAAAAAAATTAAGCTTAATAACCATACCCAAAAGAAATAAAGTTTAAAATACAACTGAAAGCAAAGCATCTCATTCAAAATCTGGCAAAAAAAAACAAAACTGTTTACTTAAACACTGCCTAAAAATAACCTTTCAAGCCATAAAATTGCTGGTTTTCACGGCTTGATGGTTGGATAGACCTGTTTATGTATCCACTGACATCTCACCTGCCAGATTAACTTCAAAATAGTCACGCTAATGAGCGCTTTCACCGTTTTCTCAAGGACGCACTGCCACCCATCAGACAGAACCAGGCTGTGCTAATGATGACTCTAACATGTGCCAGACACACATTATGCTGAACCCGCCACTCAACATCTGCAGCCCCGTCTCCACCAGCTGCTAAGGCCACACCCCTCCCTGCCTGTCTGCCAATCACAGCACGCTCTGCACTAACGCGGTCCTAATGGAAACACGGCCGGTGCTAATGAACACCCGTCTGAAGCCGCATGCCAATTTGGCATGGCTCTACTCAGCTCCCTGTTCGATCGCTGCAGTTAGCAATTAGCGCCTGGCTAAGCATAATAAACAAGTCCGGGGCTCGCATTGCATTGCATGGCAGTTTAAAGTAAATATTCCTCACAGCCATCATTACCTGAATGTAAATGCGACGTGGTGAGAGGGATTAAACATTTCCGCTATAATTAATCACTTTTTGCTCAGTGCAAGAAGGCAGGGGAGATGAGAAAGCATCCCTCATGGAAATAATTACCTCTCAGCGCTTTTTCTAGACCTTAACCCCTTAAGGAAACATGCAAATGCTAATGCAGGTAGTGTTGTATATTCTCCTGTTAGACACTGAGGAAGAAGGCGCCTCCACTTTTTGCCTTTGGAGCCATTTTTGCAGGCCAATATCATGACTTTTGTTCCATAGCAAAAGGCAATGAACAATGAATACCAGCATGAACACATTGTTGCTTTGGCAAGCAGTTAAATTTACACAGTTTTCACATCCCTAAAGCAGACAAAATCACTGGTGTCCAAAGTTTTCTTCTTTAGCTAGCTCTGGGCCTGCAGTGTAGCTAAAAAGTAATAGAAGCTAATATTCCACCTATTAGCATAGTGCAAGCTGCATGCCTATTATCTATGGCTGCATGATTTACTTTTTTTCACGGTGGCTGCTGCTACTGTTTTGTTTCTGCTGTGCTGTTTACCTTTTTATATACTATATGGCCAAAAGTATGCGGACACTTGACCATCACAACTACATGAACGTCCAGGACATCCCACTGGCTACCCCATTCCCAAACTATTGGCATTAATATGAAATCCAGCAAGCTCATGTAGCAAAATCTTTTCCACAAGATTGTAGAGAGACAGTGTCTTTGGAAATATGCGTATTTAGCCAAAAATTCATTTGTGAGGCTGTGCAATGATGTTGGACGGTAAAGCATGGCTCGCAATCGATCCCAGTTAATCCCAAAGGTGTTCAGTGGGGCTGAGGTCCTGACTCTGTGCAGGCCACTGGCGTTCCTTCACACCAAACTCTTCACACCAACATACAGCTGACAGGGTTGGATCTAGCAGGGCAGAAATTTCTTGTGGTAACTGACTTGTGGTAAAGGTGGCATCCTATGACAGCACCACAATTAAAATAACTGAGCTTTTCCGTATGACCCATTCTACTTCCAGTGCTTGTCTATAGAGATTGTATGGCTATGTGCTTGATTTTATACACCGTTTAGCAATAAGTGTGGCTGAAACACCTGAACACAGTTATTAAGAGGGTTGTCCACATACTTCTGGCCATATAATGTAGATGTCTTGCTCCCCTCTTTACTGTTAGCAAGGCACACACTGTCTGTAACACCACAAAACAAAAGAGTAGATTTGGCAGACTTTTTTTGCTTGACAGAGGCCTTTTCACTTTAATCAAGAAACATTTGATGCATAAACCATATATATTTTTAATATTTCTGCATAATAAAGATGTAAACAAAATCATTCAGAGTGGTTTAATGTGAAATGAATTGTTCTAGTGAAACTCGCTGGTGATAAGAACCAGGCATCCAAAGCATTTCATACCTTTAAAAGCTACTTCAACCTATTATGTAAAATCGTTAAAATATACTGCTTGATATCTGACACATTGCTTTAAAATAGTGTTTCCCACACATAGGTCATACATAAGGAAATGAGCACTCAACAAAATACATTTCAACTGTTTCAAAAAACATTCAGTTGTTTTTAATTAATATGTTTAGAAAAAAACGTTGCTTGAATTTGTCCGCTACATGAACATTGCTCTGGTCAAGACAGCGAGATAGAGTGAGCAGGAAAATGTTTAGATCTTGTGAAAAAATTAGCTAGTTACTACAAGTAACTAGCTAAGCTGTCATTTGCTTTCTTTTAGTTCAAAAGAATGCCTAGTTGCACTTACACTAGTGATTTATCTGATAATAATTAATTAATGCTATAAATAAAACCTCTTGGTGTTATTGATATTTGTATATAACCAATGGTCTTGTATGGTGTGTATTGGTAATGGCCATGCGCAATTATTGTCAAAAAAATGCTATGAAGTTTATTATTTATTTATGCTTTAGAGTCTGTGCTTTCAAATTTTAGCATGCCTTTTTATCACTTTAAAGGCAGAGAGGTTCATAAAGGGTGTTGGAAGGCAAAAGAGTCTCCAAAGAAACCTTTTTTTCAGATATTTTGGCATTTCCAACTACACAACATGTGTAGGTTCACTGATTATTTTGGGTAGCAAATAAAATGCCTATATTTGTGTCGTGGACCTCACAACACTGGGCTCCTATCACCACCACTGTAAAGAAATTTAAGATTTGAGTTTAGTATAAAGCTCTAGAATGGAGCATTTTACATCAAAACACTCTGAATAACTTTGAATGATTGGATTATACAAGAAATGTAAAAAGAAATATGTGGAATACCCCCATAAGATGCAATTATGACTATTACGCTACTAACTATTCTATCAGAAGTCTGCCTCCATGGGAAGGAAATTTTGGCTAAAATTTTAAAGGAAAAGACAAATTCTGCAGGGACACTCCAAACTCCTCCCACACTTCCATACAAAATTACCTTGCCACAATAATCTCACTAAACTACATCTCCTAACAAAGAAACACCCAAGATTCAGCGAGGAATGCAGCACTCACTGTCATGACACCACGAACATATATATTTTTTTAATTCTGGCACAGATACTAACTCAAATAAGACATTTTATTGGACAGAGGGGGGTATGTAGTCCTTTTAAATACTGAGACTTCTGTACTGTGCTGGTGGCCGTGCAGATGGGCTATCAGTCAGGTGGAACGGTCACAGTCTGTAACTCGATCTGGAACACTGAAAGACAGGGTCGAGGCCATACAGCGCCTTGGACAGCAAACGTCAGTCAAAACAAACTCCAAAATGCTTCACCTGACAAAAGCTGTTGCTCAAGCTTATATCGTAACTCCAGCATTTGCACCACCCATCAAGATTTAGGGACACCAGGCTGTTCAAAAAGTTTGAAAACTAAAGAACATACTTACTTAATACTTGTTTGAGGACAGAAAATACCAGTTTTGAAAGCAGAATTTTTTACCATTCTTCCATTATACAAGCCTTCAGCTATGTGATCATATATGGCCTTTGTTATCTTATTTTGAGCTTAATAGGACATATGGTTTTAAATGGAAGACAGATCTGGACTCCAGGCAGAACAATCTAGTAATCACACTATCTGATTACGCGGCCATGCTATTGTAACATGAGCAGAATGTGGCTTAGTTTTTTGAATTTGCAACCATTTTACTATTATCAAATATTTTTTGCCACCATTTTACTATTGTCAATTATCATCAATTATCATTACATAGTAAAATATATGCTTTTAATAGTAAATAAAATGACTATATTTGCACTGTATACATCATGACCCCTGTTCCTATAACACCACTGTAAAGAAATTTCGACATGACAAGTTCTTCTTCAATGCACCATTTTACATCAAACCCTTCTGAATGACTTTATTTACATCTCAACAACTAATATTAGCAGGAATAATGGAAAATAATTTAATTTCCTAGTTAAAAACTATTTTAAAAAGCCTAGAGGAACACTTTGCAGTCACAGTGCACATTGCTTCACACACAATAATAAAAAGAAGTTGAGAGAGGTTGAAAAGGTGTCATTGGAAGGTTTGCAGAGTTTTTTTTCTGTCTTAATTGAAAAATAATCATTTTTTTAAAGGCTATGTGTCAATAAAACTTTTGATAGGCAGTATACACATACTGACCAGAATACACAGGTCCCCTTCAGCATGGCTGGGAAAAATCCATCTGCCCAAACAGAAGAACAATGCATTCATGCAAATCCTGCAAAATGTCACCGGAATTAGCTGGCTGCAGACGGAGAGGCATGGGGAAAGTTTCTTGGCATGGGAGCGGGCGGGCTGCTGTGCCATCTGCTGCTGATTCAGCCCGGCCTGCTGCCATCTTAAAGCACTGTTTTGAACAGTAACATGACATCTGACCAAACAGCTCTGACCTGTCTTTCCGCCATCCATCAATTCAACTCCTCCGTCACATGAATTTGTGAAAGCAATGGGGCTTCCAAATATGACCCTGATTCAAAAATGTAAAGTAAATCTGCTCTACTGAAAACAAATGCAAGGAAAATGAAGGTTCTGATATGCAAAAATAAACTCTAAGGCAAGCAAAAGACACCAGCACGGCTTGAATAATGTATTCATTTATTTTGTGAATAAAATAAAAAAATTAAATGTGTTGCATCTTTATGCTAAACCTCTCTATGGGCTGGCAATGTCATTCAAAATAATTAATATTTCATAATTCATATGCCTTGCAAAAGCTTTGATATCAAATTCACAGCACGTAATTATTAAAGGTCAGAAAATGTTGCCAGGCAGCACATGCAGTGTGCGCGTTCTTACACCCCTCTTAGACAATGTAGCAGATCAGGATGTAATGCAGTTTGTGTGTGTATGTGTGTGTGTGCGGCAGATGCAAAAAATGACTCGCCCCATATGAAAGTACTCTTGTACTCTACGGTACTGTATTGTACTTTATCAAACTGTAGCATATTGTGCTGCATTATAGTATCTCATGCTGTAGCATACTGTATTGTACATTATTGTACTGTATTGTAGCAGTATCATATTGAATTGTATTGTACTGTATCATACTGTAGCGTTGTACTGCACTGTATCGAACTGTAGCATATTGTGTTATATTATATTGTTTCATATTGTAACATATTGTACTGTATTGTAGTGTATCATGCAGTATCATATTGAATTGTACTGTATCATACTGTAGCAAATAGTATTGTACTGTACTGTATATTGAAGCATTATTGTATTGTACTGTATTATACTGTAGCATTATTGTATTCTACTGTATCATACTGTGACATTGTATTGCACTATATTGTATCATACTGTAGCATATAGTATTTCATTGTACTGTATCATACTGCAGCATTATTGTATTGGACTGTATTATACTGTAGCGTTTGTATCATACTGTGGCATACAGTGACATTGTATTGTACTATATTGTATCATACTGGAGCATATAGTATTGTATTGTACTGTACCATACTGTAGCATTATTGTATTGTACTGTATTATACTTAAGCAACAGATACATACAACAGTTTAATAAATAAAGTAAAAAATAAATATGCTGGGCCGTGAATGTGGCATTTAATGTTTTAATGTTAGCAGTTCCTTCCGCCAAATTATAGTTCCTTAACAAGCAGCTCGTTGCTACGTCAGAGTAACGTGCTCCACTCACTTGCTGCACAGCCAGCAGTTTGTTCTCCAGCTCCTTACACTAATCACGAAACTGTCATTACCACTGAACAAGCTTTTTTGTTTTTTATGGCGGCAGTTGCATGACTGAGTCCGATTTGTTGTTTAGGTGTTCTTCTGTTACAGCTGCCGACTGAAAAGCTTGCTCAGTGGTAATGACAGTTTCGGAATTTAGTGTAGTCTCATCTTCAGAGTCTGACCAAATCGGCTGTTGGTCAAATGTCATCTTAAAATGATCTATTTTCTGTTTGTGCGCAAAGTAAGAAATAAAAACGTTCAAATGGCTTGAGCATCTCCTACAGTTGTCAAACTCATTGCTTAGCAACGGCATCATAGCGAAGTGATACAGCGTTTATGAAAAACCTGTAATGTTATGGTGAAATAACAGCATGTATTGTATTGTACAGTGTCATACTGTAGCATATTGTATAGTGTTGTACTGTATTATACTATAGCATTATTGTGTAGTATTGTGCTGTATCATTCTGTAGCATTATTGTATAGTATTGCACTGTATCATACTATAATGTTATTGTATTGTATCATACTGTATTGTACTATACTGTAGTGACTTGCACTGCACTGCACTGTAGCATATTGTATTGCATCAAAGTCCTTACAGACAAGTCTGTTCACTCTGCGGCCATGGTTGCCATTTCCACTCATACCAGACCAGAATCCTGTCTCTTTGAATGAGGAGAGACCTAAAAACCTGGAACTGATAACCACGTTAATGTTTCAAAAAATATATTTGAAATCACTGGTAAAATCTGACAGAATAGGATAAATACTTTGGCTCAAATAACATACAATTTTTTTTTCGAGGTGTTCTAGCTATTACACACAACAAATGGGGCTTTTCCCACTTACACCTTTACCACGAAGGTCATTGATTCTTTTCCTTTGAAGGGCAGGACTTTCTTCTTAAACAGCTACCATGCTGACCACTATGAGCTATCCCATTCATTTTCCAACCAGTAAAAATGTCTCCTTTTCCAACCAGTAAAAATGTCTCTGATTGCATCATGTTGTATCATACTGTAGCATGTTATAGTGTGTCATACTGTAGCATATTGTGCTACATCGTGCTGTATTGTTGTACTGCAGCTGGTGTGTTAGCTTGTGGCTAGTGCTTTAGCTCTGGGCTAACATTAGTTTGGGGCTAGCGTGTTAGCTTGGGGCATTAAAAAGCACAGCTTTTATCTAGTGTTTTGTTTAGGTGCTCATATATCATTTCATCATTTTTTTCAGGGATCTGTTTTAAAATGGCCATAATGAATGAGATGCATTATGAATTAAAGGAAGATAGCCTTCAGTTAATGTAGACTACTGCAAAAAATGCAATATAAAGACCTAATGATGTGCATCACTATAGGTGTTTGTGAGTGTGTGTGTGTGTGTTCTCACACCTCTCTTGGGCAGCAAAGTGGGTTTGGGCTTTTCCCTCCTCCTGAGCACAGGTGTGCTAAGCCCCTCCTCTTCTTCCTCGCAGCAGGTGAGGAAGATGTGTCCACAGGGATAGATCAGGTGCTGATGAACATTACAGCCTTTTCCCTCTTGCCGCAGACGTAGGCCCAAAGCACAGCAGCTGCAGCACTCCTGCCAAAAACATACAATATAATGACAGCTAGCATTTTACAATGATTTTCAGTGGCGTAAGTTACATTTCAACATATATATATATATATATATATATATATATTTGCTTTTACTACTAAAACTATATCTTAATGTTAAGTTAATGTTATGATAGAAATGCACTGACTATTCAACTGAATTATTTAATACGCAAAAACACTTCACCTTGAAAAAAAATTATATGTAACTGGCTTCTTTATTAACTTCATTAACATTAGCTTTTACATGAAGCAGTTCACTGGGAACTGTTTTCAGCCAGGAAATTTAGGTATTATATGCACATAATATCGTAACACTTTGCATTAATCTTGAATTTATTTAACAAATTGTTATTGTATCCAAAAAGCTCTTTCTGCTTCTCCATAAGGACCAAAAGTGTAAAAATAATCAATATGCATTACCATACAAAAGTCTTAGATGCCGAAGCACATTGTTAATATAATCAGTTATCTTAGCTATAAGCATGTTTTTGCCAGTATAATCACTATTTGTTTTTAGAATAGAAGCATATGCACTTAAATACAGTAACCATGTATTTGTTTAATTACATTAACAGCACTAAAATAAACATTATAAGTTAGACAACAAATCTGGCACACCTTCTACAGCTAGCTAGCTACCACGAATAAATATGTTTAGTCTTTTTTAAAGAACCTTGTTACCTACAGTTTGCATCCTCATACTAAAAAATATTGATGCACTTATTATGGGATGCTTTTGCTTATTATCCATATATGGACTGGATGGACTGGAGAGTGAACAGATGAAACTTTAACATGTTTCCTGGCAGACAGCAAACTCTTTTATTTCAATTAAGAGAGCATTTAAATTGAAATGTAACCAGAAGTAAATGTACATTCCAAAAAAAAGGCAAGGTGTTTCCAGACTTTTGATGGGCAGGGTGTCACGCCCTATCCCAAACAACATACACAATGCCTGGATGAGAAAGAAAGAGGAGTGAAAAGTGCCTTGGAGCATGACAAACCATTACAGTGGCATTACGTTGCTTTATTTAGATGGGTTTAGAAAAGGTTCAACGAGCAGACAGGTCACCATGAAGAACAGATTTGCTATTATGACCACAAAAGCAGTGTTGTGCTCTATAGGCCGACCCATGGGAAGCTCTATATTGAGGATTGGAGAGTGTGTGTGTGGAGAGGGGAGTGAGGTTATTGCACTGGCAGTATGAGGCAGCGTTCACCTATTCAGTAAACCACTAGAGCATATAGTACTCATCCGTCCAGTGTTTCATTAGAAATGGCCTTGGTCTATCCTCCATCGCACACATTGCTATTACGCTATTCCCTATAGAAGTACTGACGAAGGTCAGTCCAATATGTTTCCCTCTGAAAACTGTATTTTTATTATGCTCAATGCTCAAAGAATAACATTATATTTCAGCACTGAGCTGTTTACAACTTCAGAGTATACCCAATGCACAAGCTTAGCTTTGGTTTTTATTCCAGTCCATTGAAAACTTTGTGCAAACGTGCACCGTTCCATAAAATGAAACAAATCCACATGTGCCTTCATTCTGTGCCAGTTTTCATGAGGAACTATGAAATCATGCTGTCAGTTGAAAACTGATTATTTATCCTGGAACTTGGGAATCCGCTAACAAACGTAATCCAAACCAACTGTAACTTTTATTTATTGACCTTCTAGCTTTTGATTCGCTTACTTTAAAGAAAATGAAAACAAACTACTGAATTTGAGCAAATGACAAAAGTTAAGTTATGATGAATGAGAAGCAAGCAGTTGAACAAAGTGGCTTGAGGTCACAAACTATTACATATAAAATTTGTCTGAGTATATGTAAAAATATGTATGTGTCAGCATGTGTATGTTGTTTACAAGATAAAAATAGAAAAAAGGAAAAAAAACTACTGAAATAGGAGGCTAAACTACAGCATGCTTATTAAATTCTTATTACAAATTGTTCAAAATCAGAGATATTTCAGTAAAAATAAATAAGGTATTTTTCAGCTTCAGGAAAAAAGAAGAACACATTTTCAGATTTGAGGCAAGAGAGGTGCTTGATTGTCTCTTAATTCTTTAAGCTTTAAGTGCTGTTTATCTGATGGTGACAGTTTTGGTGGTCTACCAGGTCAGCTGGTACAGCTGTTAGGAGTCATTTTCTATTAATCATTTTTTGAACTCTACATCTGAAAATTCCTGTTTTTCACTTATTTTTCTTTGATTTTATCTTATATCTGATCTCTTCACAAATATATACATAAAAAGTAACTTAATCTTAAAAGCTGTAATTAAAAGCTGAAAATTAAATAAATTAATGGTGGTTGCTGACTTTTATATTGTATTGGATATAATGTATATACCAATATATACAATACATATATAATGTATATATTGGTATTTACATAAATGTATAGTTATTATTACACATTATTACACAAGTTATCTTTTATATTGTGTGAAAAGTTCATGATGAGCAAATCAACAGAAATAGTGTAAAATTACTTGTAGAAATCTACATTAATTTCCACAAAAAGTTAAGAATGTTTTTTCAGCTCCTGTAAAGTTACCATTATTGAGATACTAGGTTTTGTTTTCCAACAGCTAATATATATATTAGACATGTAGGATTTTTACGGTATTTGATCCTATGTTTAATGTTGTATAATAGCAAATACTTATGTGTGTGTGTGTGTGTGTGTGTGTGTGTGTGTGTGTGTGTGTGAGTGAGTGTGTGTCTGTGTGTGTGTGTGTGTGTGTGTGTGAGTGTGTGTGTGTGTGTGTGTGAGTGTGTGTGTGTGTATCTTGCCTTTTGGGTATCCTCTCCACAAAGGGAGCTGTTGCTTTCTTCACACACTTCTCCAGCTTTGGCTGCATTCATGCCAGTTAAACATCTGCTCTCTCTCAGAGTGCCAGCGCAGCACTGCTCCTGAACCGCTCTAACAGACACACACACATTGAGCCGCTAATTAGCAATATTCCATTAGCGTACTATAGCATACTACAGAACATTCCGTATACTGTACCTGGAAACCTGCTGTTAACAGGGAAACTACGAAAAGGAAATGAATATGGATCATTAATTAATGTTAATTTTGCACAAAATATCATTTGTTAATCATCAATCTTGGCCTTCGCGGTTCTTATGTCGACAATATGCAATATGCAAACGAACCCTCACCAAACCAATCACAGTTTTTTCACTGTGTGCTCTGGGCAACCCGTCCTCCAGTTTTTTGAATAGTGTTCCTATGGGCTTTGATGACTCAAGGTATTCATATTAGCCAAGAAAAGTAAATTACTTTGGTTAAAAAGCACAGACCAATCTTCAAGGGGGCCATATATCTTTTTTCCCTTGATGTCCGTTTATACTGTTTGTGTGCTGCTTTTATGCACAAAACAGCTATAATAATTTTGCCATGACCATTTCACAATATCTTTTTTCCCTTAAAATTAAACAGGCTGTTTTTGTTACTGTGCCTTTGAGTCTGATATATATAAATGACCTTCTCCTTGACTGGTTGCCTGTATTGTGATTCAAAAACAGGCTGAGACTCTCCTTAAAACTTTGATGTAAATGGGTGGGGCTAATATACCATAGTCTGAGCAAGCAACTAAATCATTGCTGTCTGAACATAACCTTGTATTTCTTGTCATTTTTATTTTGCTACAGAAGTTCAGAAATCTGCCCTTTACATAGTGTTAAAATTTCACGATGAACGGACCAATAGCAATGCTCCAAAATTACCTGGAAAATATCTTGTTCCATTAATCTTTATTCAAAGTTAAGAAAGTCTTTTCTTTATCCTGTAAGTTACCATTTTGAATATACAGGGTTACAACGTGTTAGCGAGTTATTTTTTGTTACGTCACAAAAAGGTGAATTTAAAGCGAGCTGTTTGTACAGTTTAGTTTGCATATGCAGATTGTACTTCAATTATATGGGCCCTTTTACTACATGGCTTTTAATGTGAAACAATGTGTATCAATAAGACAATCACAATATTCACAATATGCAGCAATTTAATCCTCCATATTTTTAAGCCCTAATGAATGTAAGAAATGTTTTGTGAGAAAATCTTCAAAAGGCAACTTTATAGAAGAAAGAAAAACAACATTAAAGAAATATAAAATATCAGAAATTTCTATTAGTGTCATATGTCATTAGGCCTGGATCAGCAAGTTATTGGCCACTAGGCACAAATATTTGATGGGCCTCTCCCAGATATTGTTTTACAATATCATAGCAGGTTACACAAGGCCTTCTGTGTACCATGATGGCAGCATACTAACCACAGTGTTGGGCACATCACAGCTAAATATATATTTTTTTCAAATGAAGACAAAACAATGGACAAAACAGCAAGATTATGAATGCACTAATAAGAAAACAGGTTAATGTGAACCGAACAACCAATGCAACGTTTCCATATAAAGCATGCTTCCACTCTTTACTCTTACCCCAATAAAGACAACATATTAAATTCAGACAGCTGAAATGTACATAAAGATGGAAAAAAGCAAAACCAACCCCGCAAGCATCCTAGCTAAAGCATACTGCCGGGCATGGAACTTTTATTTCAGTTATATCTTACCTTATAAGATGCAGATCACCACTGACAATGAAAAAGCAACTTTTTTCTTTAACTCAGGTGACTGACGTTCTATCTGACTTTGGATATGGGCATCATCTAACTCTGTCGAAGTTTCAGATTTCGCTTTTACAGATACACATCTTTTCAATATCTGGAACTCAAGTTCACTGTACATTCAAACAGTAACTCACTACTAAAAAAACTTAAAGCTTGACTGAGGTAATGGCAGATAGTTAAATGGTTGCTCAGCAGTGATTGAAAGAAAAAATGAAGTGGATGTTTAGAAAAGATGTGGCGAGCATCAAGATTTTTTGATCAGATGTAACAAAACAACAAATCAGTTATTTTTCTTTTTTTTTCCACTGTGCTGTTAATAAAGTTCACACCACTACTGGCACTATAAGTTAAAGCAGCTGTTTAGATCTTCTCATAACTACTTGTGGGGGTTCCCTAGCAGCTCAGGTGTTTTGTTTTCAAGATTGTTTAACTGCAACTGCTAAAAGTAATAAAATATATATATAAGAACTGAACTAAAATAAAATTAAATAAAAGAAAACGGGCCAGATTCATAAAATGCTCCATCAGAATTACTGTGACAATAAGACAATAACCTTTTTATACATCATTTTTTTCTAATATCAACAACATCTACTGACAAGGAAACTTTGGTTCTTGACAAAAAGTTAAAAGCATTTTCACTAAACAATTTACTATTATTTTCCTGCACTTTGTTCCAAAATTTATGCATGTTTTATGTTGTGTTCTATTATTTTATTGTGTATATTTTCAAAATCTGCAGTAGCTATTTACTGTTTAAGTGAATACTGTATTTCCAGTACAGCAAGCCAAACCACTTCCCAAACTGGTGGCCACTTGTCTGATGTGCATTTAAGTATTGAATCTCACCATGTAGCTAGACTATGGGTGATGCAATCGGTGACTGTGCAATATATCAACAATTTGATTGGTCGCTGCCCAGCTCATTTGCAAAACGTTCATCCAGAATGAGAGAGAACAGAGTGAGCAAGTTGTGCATCAGTGGTTTGACATGGCAGTTATATATGTATACTGTATCTCTCCACATTATAGCACATTATGACCCCCTCCCCCCCCCACTTCTGAAAACACCTTACTCACATCCCTGCTGTTTTTAATAGGTAAACAAAAATCAAACCCCCATTAAAAAGTTGAGTGACTTTTCTTATAACAGAAATAATATGCAAACAAGAATCTGATAGTGTAAGTGAGCCTTACCCACAGACAGAGTTGTGGTGTGTCAGAGTAGGGAGGTGGTTGCAGTGCTGGTGTTCAGAGGCCCATTTCTGCCCAGACTCACAACATCTCTCCAACAGGGCTGGATCTAACGCTTCTGTCAAAAACACACACATAACTCAGTTAAACAAAACCATACAGAAGTCATATGCACTGAGTTTGTAGTTCATTAGGTACTACAAACTTGTAGCTACACCCATTGCCCATTTTAGAAACACCTACTACATAGAGGCCCTGTGCATGTTTGTAGCCCATCTGTTGCTTTATTTCATTTGCCAATGTAAAAGGACCACCACAGGACCAGATATTTGCATGTGTCGCATGCATTCTCTTGTCAGTCTGAATAAGTAATCTCTCTGTGAGTCATGGGGAGTCTAATGACTGTGACAAAATCAAGCTGCTGGATAATATTGTCTCTTCTCCCATGAAGTTACCGTTTGACGCACGTTTTCATACAAATGCTATATGACAGGGTTTCTCAAGCATCCTCCAGTGATCCCACAGCCTGTGCTAGGGAGGAGCCAGTGGTCCTTAGAGGGCTGGTGATGGAACTTTGTTTCATAATCATTGAAAATCCTTAAAAGTAATAAAGAAACATATTTTTAAGCGGTAAACAATATAAACACATCACCTGCATCAACAAGCATGAAGTAGTTTTGTCTATTTTTTTCCTTCCTTGACCTTTCACTTGTCCACTCAGGGTGACTGGTATAAAAAATGGGTTGCAGAAACATTCCCCTTAATTTGTTACTATTTCACTTAATGTCTGGGATAAAACAAGCTTATGTTAGTCTAATCTGCTGATATTTTACATTCAGTGTTACATGTTGTAGATCACTGTGCTGAACATTTCACCAGACAATGTACGCCAACAGAAAAAATGCAGAAAAATGATGAACATGTATTTTATTCAGCCTAACATCAGGGGCGGATTTAGTGATTCCCCGCTAGTGGGTCCTAGGCAAAGACAGAAATGGGGCCCCCTGGATGCACATACACTGCAAAACTATATCTTAGCAAGTGAAATCATTTTAAATATAGTGGATGTGTATAATATTCTCATTAAAAAAAAACTCATTTTAAGTAACTACGACCAGAAGGTGGGCTTCTTTGACATTATTAAAAATAATCCCTAGAATCGCTAACAGCAGCAGTTTTAAAAATGTATATATACCGATACAGGTTTTTCAACACCAATACATAATAATTTCAATACCAATATATAATATACACATCTAATTTTATTTTAATTGGGTTGATGGGGGACCTAGGCAGCTGCCTAGCACAAAGACTACCTCTGCCGTCAAGAAGGGACAGAAGATACTTAATTTTATAGAAAACTTTAATTTTATTTGCTTCTAAAAATTAGAATGAGTAGTTGAAGTAAGACTGGTTGCTATGTTAATATTGCTTTTATTATAAAAAATAATTTCTTTTTTTAATTATACTTTATTTTTATTAGTAGTAGTTGTAGCAGTAGTTTTTATTCTTTTGTCTACAACTACACACAAATTTCAATCCTTTTTTCCGCTTTCATTCTATCATCACTCTGAAAAAATACCTTTCTCCTCAAATGTAAAATCTGATTTTAAAGTTGTTATTCAGGTCATAATTTTCACATTTTTCTCTGTGGGCCATCAGGCTTTGTAGCAATAAACAGATAGCTCTTTAAGTAGAAAGATTTGAGAACTTCTGTTGCATGACATTACAACACAGGCCCCCACAATATGGACTAAATCCACATCTTTGGAGCAGGAAATCATTAAATCTGCAGTGCTGTGGGTCAAAGGAAGTAATATTAGCATAGCTCTAGCATAAACCCAGTAAAGAGTGGAAAATATCACTGATGCACACATGCCAGCTAGTTACTACTGCCATGAGAAAGTTGAAAGATGGTCATGTTTAATAACTACAAAAATAAAGTCAACCTGTCATGGTTGGCAGTTACATTCTGGGAGTTGTGAAGGCTGTTATGTCAGTTTTTCTTGTTTCTAATGACAGAATACTTCCATGTCAGTCACTGTAACTGGCTTTCTGTTTCAGCATGCTAGTTTACAGAATGCTGCTGCTCCAAATGTCTTCACATTACACTGAATTAACGTTAGATATTTAAGCAATTTAGTTCCATTACCAGCATGGTTAACCTAGTTGGGCCAAGATGACACTGCTAGGCTAGTTAGCGCTAGTAGCCGCAAATCCAAAAGGTGGTGCAGCTTTATTCACCAACCAACAAAAAGATTCTTCAATGTCCAAAATAATAGTTATATATTTTACACAGGGTTACAGAGGACCCTAAACATGTGTAACATTAATAATTTACAAGGAATATGAACAACATTGGTCATAGTGTCAGACATGCCAGTGCAATGCTGCACTCACAGTACGACGTGTTCCACCATGTTGGGGGTGGTTCATGCTGAGTGATTATGTGTCAGAAGACTCAGTTTATCAATAGAGAGTGCTGGAGACCATCCTCTTCTAAGACCCACCCCCCTCTGAAAATGTATCAAAAATCTGAGGTTTTTGGAGGAAAAGAGCAATTTCAGAAGCAAAAAATGTATCTGTAAAATGGCAAATAGGAAAAATGACAGCAAAAACTTATTTTATTTATTTTAGAATTATTTGAGTAAGCCCAGAGGAACAAGTTGAGAAACACCAAGCTAAACCAAGAGCAGTCTCTAACAAAAAGATTGAATTATAGCATAACAGTAACTGTAATTCCTATTTTCAAGGTCATATTTTAATTATATTGTACAGTAGTAAATAAATATTACATATTGTTTTATTTTAGTTAAATATAGCTATTTAAATACAAAACTATGATCATGATAGAAATTACAACAATATTAAACAGTTGACCAAGCACACCTTATTCAGAAAATATTATAGCAGTTACATGCAATTATGCTTGCCTTTTAGATCCCAAAGCTGGCAGTAACAAAGCACTACTAGTTAACTGAAACACAAAACACCCTCTTGATGTGTATTTTGAGGAGAGGATTTTTCAAAAGGAACACACTCCCCATGTGCTAACAGGCTAACCATGCAAACCTTGCAATGTAAAATGTTGTGACGTGTGAATATAACATATATAACTTTTGTAAATAATTGCTTTGTATGGCTAAAACTGGTGTGGTGCCCTTATTTTTCTTTTGTTAACTATGTAGCCTTAAGCATGCTAACTATTAAGCTAGCAGAGGAAAGTGATGAAGTTGTATCAGTGGTCATCTATAAGAGATGGAGTAGTTTGCAACCTAAAGCAAAATGAATTATGCTTTTGAAATATTAAGCATCACAAAGTAGCTTACTGCTATGGCTTCTAAATGTCTTTGTCCACCATATTTTGGGTTTAAAAAGGGAAACAAGCCAGATTGCAATGATTTCTGGGTAAAGTTCTGCAGCTAACTGCACTTGTGTTAACTCGATCCCTCGCCCTTACAAAGGCTCATCTGTTACACTTTACTTGAGCTAATAAAGTAATAAAACAGCCATGAAGATGACATTGGTGAGGCCAAGTGGACATGAGTGTGGTAAAACTGGTACTGAAACAGGAAGACGGCCTGCTCGAATCTGCATAATGTACCAGTTTTCCAATAAGCTTTGCAAAAAATGGCTAATTCCTGTAAAAAATCTTTGAAAAGAACCTGGACATGCATCTTCAATAATGCATCGTTCTTCACAGCAATCAGCTGTATTTAAGAAATACACTAGCTTACTGCAGGATTTCTGCCATAAATTAACATAATTTTTAACAGTGTATTTGATCAACTGTGATCCTGTGGTCAGAAACTGACCAAGAGAATGTTGTAGAAGGCAGTTGACAAACTGTGCATGACAACAGATGACTACAGCCAGTAATTGTACGCCTATATAGTGGACCTATAAGGTAGATGGATCTCATAAAGTGGCCAATAAATGGACGTAGAAGGTAGAGCTTTCTAATAAAGTGGCCGGTGAGTAGAAGTAGAAGTTAGGGCTTTCTAAAAAATCGCCAGTGAGAGCAAGTTGTAAGCAGGAGTTTCTAATAAAGTGGACAGTGTATGCAGTATGAGAAGCCACTTTGGAATAAAGATGTCAGAAAAAGTAAGTGAAAGTGAAAAGCATGAGATTTAAGAGTGTGTTGTGGATCGTGCGTCATCAGTCACAATTTTCCACTGAATACTTAATGACGTTAATAGTATTGCTGTGATGCCTTAAGCTGCCTGAACTATAATAAGCTAAAGAAACTGAATTGGTTTTAATTTCGAGTCTGAGTCCCCACCCTCTAAACTGTGATCTTTTTAACAGACTGAGAGACATCCGCATAAAAAAAGCAACAAGAATTCAGTAATAGCTCACATCCATTCTCATATCAATTTGAATAATTCATCTCTCTGTGCGAGCGATAGGCATTGAATCTAATTACTGTGACAAAATCAACTCGCTGGAAAGAAGCGTGGAAAAGCCTATCAATAAAAAATTCAAGAACTTGGCTTTTGCGAGCAGCTGACATGCTGTAAATCGGCTAAATGAATTTTATGTGATTAAGCATAATTACTGTTTAGAAGTGTGAACTGCAGTGTGTATAAGTATCAAAGCATGGAAACTCTGAGTCAGGTCGCCATCGGGTGCTTTATCCCTCCGTCATGCCGGGTTATGTGAGGGCAAAAATGCACTCGTTCACAGAGCTGATTTACTCTGGTACTCTGTCCATTAGCTTTATCTGAGTTACACAGCACAGTATATAGTTATAGTTATAGTGTATAGGAGCACATAAATAATCGGACGAGGCAAATATTTCTGTAATTAAATTAAGTCAAAACAGAGATCTATGTGTTTGGCAACAGTGAGAATAGACTTCATATTAGCACCTCAATTCCTGGGCTCTGAAAACCAAAGAACATGTCAGAAATCTTGGTGTTCTAATAGACTCAGAGCTCACTATCAGTGACCATATCAAAGCAATCACCAAGCATATCCTTAATACAACCAGTCATCTTAAAACATATCCATAATTAAAGGTTTCGTGTCCCAAAAAGATCTAGAGAAACTCATTCATGCTTTTACCTCCAGCAGGGTGGACTACTGTAATAGTCTCTTAACTGGACTTCCCAAAAA